TGATGATGATGATGATGATGATGATTCGTGGTAACTGGCAAGCCATTTGTTCTGCTGTATCCCTTCATTTTCCTAACCCATTGGCATCATTAAAACGTTTTGCTAGGAAATGACTTATTATCAACAGATTGTTGCCAAAATGAAGCAAAGCTCTATTACTATAATGTACATTGAACTTGTCAGAAATTTTCCCCGTCAGTAAGCAATGTATGTATATCGTAGAAGGATGTGATAGAGCAAAGAAAGCCACGTAGAAATACTAAAATGAATGAACATACTTCCTCCCATTTACATGCTCTTGATGAGGCTGAGCAGTTTCACAGTACCTCACATTCAGGTGTGAATGAGTTGACAATAAGTTGAATGTGTAAAGAAGTTCATGTCTTGTCATTTAACTTGTTCATTTAGGGAAGGTCTGGAGGACCCTCTAGATGACCTGGGCATGGTCCAGCAGCAGCTTGAACAGTTGTCGGTTATAGGGCGCTGTGAATACCAGAAAACTTGTACATTGCTCGTTCAGTTATTTGATCAGGCAGCACGAGCATACCAGGAACTAATGGCCACTCCAAATGCTCAGCAACTTGACATCACAATACAAGAGGGTACGTTCTAGCAGCTAAAGTAGTTGATAATTATTATCCATTAAGAGTTGTAAGTAGCTGTGGTAACAAATAATATAAATTTGGCTTTTGTAAGAAATGGCAGTGATCCTTCAGTCTGAAGCATGGCTCTCATGTTCTGCTGTTAGCATTGTTCTTATTTCAGGCTGAAAGGCTATTACTTTTTGAAATGACCAGTTAATGGGACTCATCAGTATTTGTAGTTTTTCAGTGGTGATGTTGAACCATGCTTCATATCTGCACAGCCTGATATGAACAGCAGATTGTGCTGTACATAGGTACCTGTATTCATGTTCAAAGCATTTTTAGAGATAATAAAAATAATAAAAATGCTTTCACAAATGACTGAATATATACTAGAGATGTGCAAATGACATTTTCGCACTCACTCATTCACCTCCGTCTGTAATGTAACTCAGAAATTTTCACGGTCCTTTTAATTTATAATAACATTACAATCACATCATTTGCAACAAGGTTTGGTCTTACTTGGCCATCTTTAGGCAGTTGTTCACTTTTTTTAAAATCATCACACTGCACTAGATCTTAAGTCACTATATTTCCATGCTGTTCCATTATCATTGATCACAGTAGAACAAAACTCTCTGTTCCACATTATTTTCCTTTTGTGGCTTCCGTGTTTGTGCTTGATTTGTGTCTATGTTCTCACTCATTTTCTCAAGCTGTAGATTTACAGTTAAGTTTGAATCATATATTTCATTAAACAAATTATTAACTGGTATCACTTCTGGGTAACATGTCTCCCTGGCACTGTATGTCACACATTTTGTTCAATAGTTTAATTTTGAAAATAGGGGTCAACCTGTATGTAGGATTGTGTTCGTGAAACACTGAAAGGAGATGCCGTATTCTCTTTTGAAATGCATCTAACTCACTATGTGGCCTGTTAGTTGGTGCAGTCACTCTATGCCCATTGACAAATTTGCAGTCTTTAACCCCTGATGAACAAAAATTTCAAGCCAGATTATTTATTTATTTATTTATTTATGGGAAGAGCCATTTAACTCATATTTTAGTGAATGCCACACATAAATTGGTGAGAGTGTGCAATATTTATGCAGATAGTGAAGTATGCAGGCTAATTTCAAACCTGAGGAATTTAAAATAAAGAAAAATATTAATCTGACTTTTTTTTTTTACATATTTAAATGTGAAACATCTATCAAGACACTTGTACGCTACATACTAATCATTTTTATGTTTTGTTTCCAGTCGATTTTACTCTTGTTCTTTACAAATTAAATTGAATCTTTAATTCTGGTTCTCATACCCACACTTTCTTTGCATCTGTTCTTGTGAAAATAATATTTTTTTTCTGATAACTGTAATTCACAGTGTTCAGTATAAATGCATGATTCAAACAAATGTCTTATACAGCTTGAACACGGGTTATTATAATGATGCACATCAAAATTTCTGAGTTATTTGTTTAGAAAAAGTTGCAGGCCAGTGATGCAAATAATTATCACATCATTCACTTAAAATACAGTGGCCTCTTTTATCACATACTGTAGTAACAAAATTCTAGGATGATGGTAGGCATAGATAGTTTGCATGTGTAATATCCATCATTAGCAGTATGGACTTTAGCAGATGTTTGGGATGTGAAATATATGCTACTTAAGAGAAGTCTTTTGGGAATGATGGAGAATGACTTCTCTCTTATTTGACATGTTGCTCATATATTGTGAGTGTAATTGTCTTCCTAGGTCGGCTAACATGGTTGGTGTATATAATTGGATCAGCAATTGGTGGTCGAGTCTCTTTTAACAGTAATGATGAACATGATGCAATGGATGGAGAATTAGTGTGCAGGTAATTTTTAATATGTTGTTTCTTGTGGTTGTTCCATGAACATATCTGAGAAAAATGGAAAGAAGTGTCCACAGTGAAGAAGACTGTGTGTACTTTTTACACTGTTTTAATATGAGATTGTGTGAATGTGATGCCCCATTATGTGTTTTTTATATTGTAAGGGAATGCAGTATCCTCTCGGCTATCCATGCAAGGATTGTTCAGTTTGTAGGTAGCCAGACTTCTTTTTAGGCATGTTTGAGCTGTCATGTTTGCCTTGTCAGTCTGCCCATACACATCCAGCAACTTCAGAATGTTGCATGGATTTTCATGACATTGAGATTGGAAAATTTGATGAGTTGTCGAGCCAGTTCAGTTTTCATTTAGGTGAAACAGTTATAACCAACCACTGTACAAGGAGTCCCACATAATTTTCTGCACATATCTCAAGCCAGATATTTGTTGGAGTGAAAATTGTTTCAAACGTGCATTGTAGAGAAAAATGAAAAGCATTTTTTGTTCACTACAGTTTTTCTGTGAGTAATTCTATTGTAGATTGGAGGTCAGTGTACGAAGACTAAGACTGTGTTGTGTTTGCAGGGTGCTACAGCTGATGAATTTAACTGACTCAAGATTGGCTCAAGGAGGTTGTGAGAAACTAGAACTTGCCATGCTTAGTTTCTTTGAGCAGTTCAGGAAGATTTATGTTGGCGATCAGGTTGGGCCTAGTATAACTTTTTCCACGTAGTTTCAGTTCATTAATTAACTTCATGTGGAACTTGGTATTGGCAAACCAGTATGTATGTGCAGATGAGTTTAGAATTAGTACAGTAACAAGAATGTGATTATGATCAAGGATCATTGGATCTTGTGTTACATACTTTTATCAGACAGTAAGTGCTTTGTAGGATGTATCTTCATGTGGTAATATGAGAACCATTTGGTTGCTCACTAGTAACATCTAGTTCTGACAAATATAAAAAATTTGGATGTTCACAAATCCCTTATACTCGTAAATTATTTAAATAATGTAGGAAAGGAAATTTTTAAAGAAATATGATTGTTGCAGCTGGTTAATTAAGGGATTCTCATATTAGAACAAAAAATTCGTCAGTCACATTGAAAGTAGTAGTGTTTCACATCATTTAACAGGACTTTGTCAGCTGTGTGGCTCTGTAACATTGACAGACATATGGTATACACCTAAAATACTAGGGCCACAACTAAAAAATTGTAATTTTGCATGATGGCCATCTGAAATTTTGTACTACGTATGTATACTAGCTAAGAATATAGTTAGATATCTATGGAAGCAGTGCGGCTATAGATGTCTCATACTGTGTTAAAAGAAACTTCAGTATCCAGATAATGTAGTAAAACTATGAAGGGGGACTTTTGTCCCCAGTTATTCTAGATTTACAAAATGTAATAGTTTAGAAAATAAGCCAGTATATATTTAATTTCTGCAAAGCATATATGTAATTACATATGACTTAATTGGGTTGCAACAAAGTAAAATCAAATTTACAGCACACGTGATCGTAGTGCATTTTCATACATTTGAATTCAGTTGTGCGGTCTTTTGCCTTCAGAATTTCTGAGAATCTTCTTATTAAAGGATCTAAGAATACAAGTATGATTGATATCATTCAAGGTCTTTTTCCAGAATTATTCTTTTTTACATTCATTATCCATGTTCCTTTTCATCTGACAAATAAAAACAATGAAAATTAAATCATTTATGTATATCCTTGAATCTCCTTTACAGGTCCAAAAAAATTCCAAAGTATATAGGCGGTTATCTGAAGTATTGGGATTAAGTGATGAGTCCATGGTTCTGAGTGTCTTTATTAGAAAAATGTAAGTACATGTTTAGGGTACTTGTGTTAATGACATCATGTTTCTGTTGATTTTCTTCATAACTTCTTTTAATATTCTTATGTTTATAAATGTGTTCACTGAACTGAAATACAAGTACCGTTGCTCACTTTAAGAAGTGCTAGTTACATTTCCATAAATAATGACATGTTGGTTAAGTTAATCCCTTATCCAAAGAAACAGATGCCTTATTTTCATCATTTGATTTCATGCGTTCCACCAGTGATAATAAATAAGTTATACAGAAAATGTGACCCGGGATAGCTCAGGCAGTATAGCATCTGGCTATAGGCTGGACGACTGAGGGGACAGAGTTCCAAGTCCTGGTAGGGTCACAAATTTTCTCTTGTCCACGTTGTCCAGACCAGCTCTGGGGCCCACCCAGCCTCCTATCCAGTGGATACCGGTGGCTCTTTCCCCTGAGGTAGAGTAGCAGGGGCATGAATCTGACCACTCACCACCAGCTAGTGCGGAGGTCAAGAAAATGTGGAGCTATACATCCACTCCTACACCTTCATGGCATAGTGCTTAATTAGTTAAGCACAGGGACAACTTTACCTGAGCAGCTAAGAGTTTTAGGAATTGGATATTTGAGAAAAGTAGAGCAAGGATATCTGAATACATTGGCAAAGAACATTTTATCCACTGTGAAAGTCATGAGTTAGTGGGTGTAAACATTCAGTATTGCCCCCATAATACAATTATTTTTATTTTGCAGAACTCTCTGTTAACATGCACATCTTAATGTTACAATTTTAGCATAACGAACTTGAAATACTGGGGCCGCAGTGAGCAGATAATTTCGAAGACCTTACAGCTGTTGAATGACCTTTCAGTGGGCTATAGCTGTGTCCGCAAGCTTGTCAAACTGGAGGAGGTGCAGTTCATGCTGAACAACCATACGGTAAATAATAATTTTATGAATGACTTACATTTTCACTATTTTATGGTTTCTGGACTTAATATTATTATGCTGTAATTGTGGATGATGTTACGGTGTACTGGTCTTTTGTTACTCTTAAGGTTGGTCTGTTGAATGAAGTACTGAACGCTGTTTGTGCTGGGGGGTGCCCTTTACTTCCTTCACTTCCAAAAAAAATTTTATTTTTCATTTGCTTAGTGGGGGGTGGAGTCCAACTGGGTGCACTTGGCATGATGGCCACTGATTGGCCTATTATAGCCTGCCCCGAGTGATTATGATGATGGAGAATTTGGTGGAATGAAGATTGGAAGGGAAACCAAAGTCCTCAGAGAAAACCCACCCCAGCACCACTTTGTCCACCACAAATCCCACTTGACCAGACTCGGGATCAAACCCGGGCCACCGCAGTGGGAAGCGAGCGACTAACTGCTTGAACTATGGCATGGACTCCTTCACAGCCAAGGTTCATGCATCTGTGTATCTGTGTGCAGAACTCTGTGTTCTCATCTGTTAAAAGACATAAATTTGTGACTTGCCCTTTCTAGTGCAATTAGCTTAATAGATGACTTGTTAGTGCATGGATTAGTGCTGCCAGGAGATGTGGAGAGATTTATAACAAAAATTTGCTGAAATTAAACAACAAATAATTTTTGCTTAAAAGGTTGTTGTTATGTAAGGTAATAAATGCAGGAAGCTTATAAATACATGGTATGTGTGTAAATAAAATGATACATGCAGTGAAATCCTCATTTGAGGTTTATTTGGTGGGGAACTGGATTTGAATAGTAAACTTAAGAAAATGAAGGAATGCTTTTTTATGTATGACTGCATCCTGTTTTTATCTTTCTGTAGGTTAAGTAGCAACCAAGATATTTATTATACGAAGGGGGACCCAAAAATAACTGGAACAAACCTGTTGCGCGCGCATGCTTTGTAGTTACGAGTTGTGCTGCTGGGTGGTGTTAGCTGGGGGTCTCCCGTGACTGTTAGTGAGCTGGCGTCAGTCTGAGTTAAGTGGTTTGTCTGTGGTGCTCTGTTGTGTGCGTTCCTGTTTCAACCCTTTGGCGATTAGTGAGATGGCCGACCAGAAGGAACAAAGAGTGTGCGTGAAATTTTGCTTTCTGTTAAGGAAAACTGCAGCCAAGACTGTTGGGATGCTTCAGCAAGCCTTTAATGACGATGCTTTGGGGAAATCACAGGTCTATGAGTGGTTTTCCCGTTTCAAATCTGGCAACATGTCAACAGAAGACATGCCACGCCCCGGGCGTCCTTCGACAGGAAGAAATGACGAAAACATTGCCAAAATCAAACGTGCAATTGATGAAGATCGTCGATAGACCATTGACCAACTTTCTGAGGAAACGAACATCTCATGGAGCACGGTCCAGCGAATTTTAACCGAAGGTTTGCACATGAGACGGGTGTCTGCAAAATTTGTTCCTCGCTTGCTCGGAGATGACCAAAGAGAAAACCGCGTGAATGTTTGCTGCGACTTGAAGAGTGTTCTGCACTTCACTCTTCAAGTTGCAAAATTTCACGCACACTCTTTGTTCCTTCTGGTCAGCCATCTCACTAATCGCCAAAGGGTTGAAACAGGAACGCACACAACAGAGCACCACAGACAAACCACTTAACTCAGACTGACGCCAGCTCACTGACAGTCGCAGGAGACCCCCAGCTAACACCACCTAGCAGCACAACTCGTAACTACAAAGGATGCGCGCGCAACAGGTCGGTTCCGGTTATTTTTGGGTCCCCCTTCGTACAACCCATGAGGAGGAAATTTTATACTGAAATTGCTGACTTAGAATGACAATGTTGTATGGAAGAACAGTAGTGACGATTCCACTGTATTAATTAATGTAATCACAAAGGCTAGCATCAATGCTAGACATTAGAAAAGTAGGAATGATGGTAGTTGTGGTTGGTAGAGCAATTAAAATGAAATTTCCTTCTGTAAGCCAGTTTCATTTTGTTGATTTTTCCAACTTTATTAATAGGCAAGCTTGTTTAGAAATGTGATTCCAATAAAGGTGCACAAACATTTGGCTTATGTTGTAAATCAGGAAGACACTTATAAAAATTCATGAAATTTCCTTCTTTGACTTATAACTGAAATTTACCACTTCACTGAAGGTAAATAAGTTTGAGGTGTAAAATAAATTGTGTCTTCATGTGATGCAAGTGTTGTGGATAGTTGAAAGTCTCAGTGAAGTCCTCAGACGTGTTTATACACAGATCTGCTCAAATTTTTCAGTACAGCTGTTGTCCCAACTATTATTTTTTATGTACTGTTGAAAATTTCTGTGATTAGTAATTAGACATGATCTGATAATAAAGTTCGCGAACTCGTTGCATTAAAAGTGTTACATACCTCATTGTTGAATATCACTGTGGTCACCTTCGAAGTACTCCCCTTAGAAAGCTATGCACCAATGCCAGCACCTAGTCCACCCTTCAAAACAGTTTTGCAACTGGTTTTGTGGAATGGCCTTCAGAGTTGTTATCACATTACTCGTGATGTCATCATTGTCATCAAAATGCCTTCCTTTCAATATCTTCTATATTTTCTTGAACAGAAAAAGTCACTGGGGCTAGATCCGGTGAATAGAGAGGGTATTCCAGCAAAGTTATTTGTTTACTGGCTAAAACCTTCCTCACAGACAGTGTTCTTCAGTGAGCTCATCTGGAACCATTTTTGCACACATCCTCATCATGTCAAGAGCTTCAGTTAAGATTTTCAAAACTGTTTCTCTCTCAATGTTTGCTTGCTCTGCTATGCTCCTGGCAGTCAGCCGTCACGCGCAATTTGACAAACTTTTGCAATGTTTTCTTCAGTTCTGCTCGTTCCTGACTGCCCTGATCTCTTTTAATCAGTGACAATTTCTCTTTCCTCAGAAAAACGTGTCACTCACTTGTAAACTGATGTTTTCTTCATAGCATTAGGCCTGTAAACTTGCACTAACATCTCTCTGATTTCGCTTCCACTGTTGCCAAGTTTAACAAGAAATTTGATGTTTGTTTGTTTGTTGCTCTAATTCAAGCTCAGACATTCTCATGGCAGCACACCAAAACACACTCCGACAGTAATAGACACCACTCAGAAAGAGACTACCATGGATCAACAATAGCAACACAGCTGTGAAACGCAGATATGCCAATGTCATCAAACCATACTGAGGTTTTTTTTCCATTGCTATCATGACAAGCACACAGTGGCAAGTTCACAGACTTAATTGTCAGACTATGTACACAGGGTTCGGATTAGTAATTGGTTTCATTGGACACTGGATTGTCTTATTTACAGATATTAACAAATTTTGCAAATATTTACTGTTATTTCACAGTCTATCACTATTGCTGAAATTTTGCTTTGGTGTGCTGCTTTTTATCAGCTTGTTTTGGACCTATTAGAAAATACATCCTCTGCTGCTGGGTATGTGTTTGTTGCTGTAAAAATGTGTTTTAACAAGCCATTGCATAGCAGTAGATGCTGCTGCAACATTTCCATGATTCTGAATTTTCAGCATCATGTCACATCAACTTGAAAAGCGAAAAATGTTTTTCAGAAGTTGGTATATTATTCTGAAGTTTAGTTCAAATTGGCATATCCTGACAGACATTCAAGTACCCACATATGTCTATGTAAGGACAGGTCACATATTTGGCTTGAATTTGCTGCCTGCTTCGTCCATGTTTCGTGCTTGGCTTAGTCTTTGAACTTGGCGATGGAGGTGACATATTCCTCTGAAACATAGATTAACCTTTAACGTACGGACTTTTAAATTGCCTGCAGCTCCCTACGGCCGGAATTTAAATGGCCCTAAGTCTTTAACATTGCAAACTTTCAGAAAAAAATGCATATTTTCCGTTCTATGCAACATCGGAATATGAACTAAAAAGAACCTGAAAGACAATAAAATTTTCTACATATATACAAAAGGGCAAGTTTTACAAATGAAAATCAACTGTGAGTATTTTGTCATGAAGTGCAAAATATAATCATTATTATATACGTTATGAAATTCCAAAGGACTTACCTGTTGTTCTTCTTCAACCTTGAATCGTGGAGGTGATATAAATATGACGACACTATATACAATAATATTTGGTTCGGACTGTACACGGTTTGGACTGCATCGCTTCACAGTTTACACTCTGACGCATGTGCCATTTCTCGAAGCAGTCCATCACACAGCGTGACATCGCACTCTACAGCGGTAAAGCGTGGTCCCGCTTTTCTTGTTTATAGAACAAACGTCTTTGTTTCCCTTTAGCTGGTCAGTGTTTTGAATGTTTCACCTCCAGTCGACTCAGTTGGGCCCCAGAAGAACTTGGCCTCCCCCAAGAAACACCACTGACTGTGATATTAGCCTCATGTGATTGAAGAATCAAATCACGCACCAAAATTTCGCGGAAAGTTTTGTGTGTCATTTTTCCATCACATGACTTGTGTGACAGATATTCATTGAGAATAGTCATGTCTAGTAGGTGGAAGAATACTCGCAAAATTGTGATGCAAAGTAATTGCAATAGCAGTTGAAAAGTGCCAGTCCGCCACTGATACCGAAAGTCACAGTGACGAAGATGTCTTTATGCACAAAGTAACACTGGCTCAGTGGGTTTATACCACTTCCGAGATACACAATAAAAATGATATAAAAGAAATATAGGAGTCTGACACTGACTTCCTAACTTTTAACAAAATATAGAAAATCCGCCACTGGCGTCATAACTGAGAATTCAACACTGCAAACCAATCCCTGAATGAGCCACACTTCCTTGAAAGCTCTGGTAGCACTGCTATGAAAGTGCTTACGAATATTTCCTCCTCTGACTTCTCAAAACAAAGCTGAACTCTATTGGCTCACCAGATCATAAACAGTCATATCTAAACGTAAATAGTTTCGAAACCAGTACCCTGATAAACGATTTCATTGTTCAAAGCCAACAAATAAACGTCTGACATGAACGCTCTTGAGTTTGTTTGGGTTTCAAACCCAAGGTCAAACTGCCAGCACTCACAAAGGAAGCACGTGGCTTGCCCATAAAAATTATAACATTCGGCCGGCTCGGCTTGCTACTTTATGCGAATAATTATAACATTCGGCCGTTAAAGGTTAATTTCAGCAGGCTACACATCATTATATTCCAGAAGGCAGAAATCTTCATTTTTATACTGCATTTCAGAATATGTATATGTGTTATTTGATGCAGAGTGAACACTTCCCTTTCCTGGGTAACAGTGTGGCTGTGAGCGAGATGAGGTGCCGGTCCATGTTTTATACGTCATTAGGTCGGCTCCTGATGGTAGACCTAGGAGAAGATGAGGATAGATTTGACAGCTTCATGTTGCCTCTGACAGGTACAATATGTGCAGTTTAATTTTGGTAGGCAATTTGAATGGAAATACATTTTTCAACTTTATAAGAATTGTAGTAATGCAGTTCAGTGTGTTGTCTGGCAGCTGCGTTTGAATCAATTGGTACGATGCTGGCATCAGCAGAGACTCCACTGTTTGCTGCTGAAGAGGCAAAGAAAGCACTCATAGGACTGGCACGCGATCTTAGGGGGCTAGCATTTGCTTTCAATACAAAGACTTCATATATGATGCTCTTCGATTGGATGTATCCTTTTAAATAATTTTTAGGGAATTTATTTTTTAGTAGGATTTGTATAACATGATGAAACTTTATGTATTTTCAGCTTTTATGTTTCTTTGAACCATCAGGTACAACAGTGTTTGTCATTTGGAATAGTTGTCTTCATCCTCTCAAAAATGTATTGTTCACAAACATCAGACATACATTCAGGCCCTTTTTAAGAATAGTTTGATTCCTACCTAATTACTTTTTGAGTGTGAAGTTAACAACAAATGGTAACTCTGTTGGGCAGTAGAAAACTGAGAATCATTTAAGTGTAACTGTCTACTCAGTGCTAATGAAATGCACTGTACTTATCGGAAATTTGTGGCTAAAGTGTATATATGAAACATATTTTTTTTTATATTATATTTAAGCATCCTGTTGCACTATACACTTCTATATGTAATAATACAAATGCCATTGCAACAATTTATTTGGTTGTAGATCTTTGTCTTTTCTTCCTCTACACTACATGTTTCGGCTGTAATTGGCCATCATCAGGGAGCCTGCACAGAATAATACATGAACAGTGCTGAAAACAAGAAATAGCCACCGTAGCACATGTAGACAAAAGCAGGTGTCACTGGTATTTAAAACTTTAAATTTTAAACTCTAATTCTAAAATCAAATTGATGAGCATGTGTTGACGAGATTTTAAAACAAAACTGACAGGCTGATGTTTTAGATTTTGGACTGTGTGCAGTGTGACAGCTATGTAGTGAAAAATACACCTGATGATGGCCAATTATGGCCGAAACATGTAGTGTAGAGGAAGAAAAGACAAAGCTCTACAACATTATTCTACAACCAAATAAATTGTTGCATTCACGACAGCATTTGTATTATTACATATAGAAATATTTTTTCCTTTGATAGCAAACATCCTTAACTACAGTACAGTTATCCCAGTTATACCCCAATTCTCCTTCATGCAGTTGACCTCTGGTGCCATGACCCTCAGGTTACAACTCCAGTCTTAAAACTCTTTGCGGAATTAGTTCAGAATCGATCGCAAAGGCTACAGTTCGATGTCTCATCACCAAATGGTATTCTGCTGTTCCGTGAAGCCAGTAAAGTCATATGCAGCTATGGTGAGTACATAGTACTTTTTTGTATATCACAGAAAAAGCAACTGTAGTTGTTTTTGTGCTATTTTACTATGAGACTTACTGAAAATATGTGTGGACTGGAATATTTTTTGTGTTTTCTATGTTTAATACTGTGTACAACAGGAGTGTGATGTTTGGTGTGTGGATTGTATTCAGAATATCTTAATTTTTAGCCATTTTCTAACATCATAATGGTTGGCTAGCTGTAGATATGATAAATTTCACAAGAAAGTTTTGTCAGTACTGTACTAAACTTAGATCAAGTTTGTATGCAGGTCCAATTTTGGTAATAATATATTATAATTCTAGCAATTTTGTGGCAAGGGGAGGCACCATGGACCATGGATGATCACAGTGCAACAATCAGTTAAAACCCAACCCTTTAATTTAATCTAAGCAACTTAAAGTGTATATTTCATGATTTATTGTATAAATGGGTTCACTTGTCAGTAAGTCTACATGCATCACATACAGTATATCATGTGTTACAAAAAAGAATATGTACATTATATTTTCTTACAGTACACATTACCAGAAATTTTTGTAATTAATCTGCCCTACTTTAATGATTGAAATGTGTACAGAAGCCATTTTCTTATTACATATAGACTTAACTTGCATTGGTCACTGCTGTTTTCACATACTGCTATTAAACATTGTTGAGAACATGCTGTAGATATGTGTAAGTGTATTTCAGCTTCTTTTAATGTATTCCTTAGAAATATTTTATAAACTCTGTATTCTACATATCTTCAAGCCAACCAAACCAGTCTGTTTATATTAAGAGGCCTTCAATTTCTTATCATAATATTAGTGTTTATCTTGCTATGAAGTGCAGAATTATGCAGGACAGAGAACTGTTGGTGTAACCAATAATTTTTATGGGAAGTGTCATGTACTTCACATTTTGTTCTCCACAGGTAGCCACATACTGAATGTGGAAGTTCCGAAGGATCAGATATATCCTATGAAACTGAAGGGTATATCCATCTGTTTCTCTATGCTAAAGGCTGCTCTTTGTGGTAACTATGTCAACTTCGGAGTGTTTCGCCTTTATGGGGATGAGGCTCTCGACAATGCCCTAAATACATTTGTGAAACTGCTGCTCTCAATACCACAGTCAGATCTACTGGTATGATCAAATTCTTTCTACTTTAATATTCTAATGTAAGCTATATATGTTTGTACAACAGACTGTCTGAAACATAATGAGGTTTATCGTTATTAGTATAATTTTTATTTACAGATATAAAATTATTTCATTTTGTGAACCTTGGCATTAAATAGTGAATCCTATAAGTGGTGATTCCAAGGAGTGCAATACAAACACACAGGACTCTTCTTCTGTAAGGTCACCTATCCAGTGTATGACACACCCTTTTTGAGAAGTGAACACTTGCTCAGCTAGTCAAGAAATGTTCAGCTCTTTGTGGAAGAATTTATATCATGTTCGCAAGCACACCATTGGACTTCTCATCTGAGTCTGTAACATACTAGTTTTGGGGGTGAGGTGTTATGAATAGAATAATCAGGCTCAGACCTGTACCACTCACTACATTTTGCAGCTGTTCAGTATTCTCAATTATTTGCTCTTACAGAAACATCATAAATATGCTAAAGGCATAAAAATATTACTACAGTTAGTATTCAGCAGTACATTATAGTACATAAATAAGAACTTTTGTAATTAAGTGCAAACATTTAATTCACCAATCTTAACACATTGAGGACCGGTCAAATGATATCATGCTTTTCGCTTTTAAACGTGGTGGACCGATCGCATGATATCATGATTTTAGGACACGTTAGGTTGTAACAAACTATAATTTTCTCTGGCACCCCCCCTGTAGAATGACTACTGCGTAATATTACTCCGGAATATTTGCTTAGTAAGCAGTAACTTGACCTCGCTGTTTTGGTTCCCCACTCCAAAGAAAATGATCTTTGACCCTTCATGCTCTTATGTACCAGGCAGGAAGTTAGTAGTGCAATATGGATCAAGGACGAAAGCGGTTGAAGACCAAGCGATCTCTCGGAGAACAAGAAATATCTGACTTGTTCTCCAATGAGCTATCTGATGTGCCTTGTGAGAGTAGTGAAGTGACTCAGCAGACAGTGGCAGTGTCAGGGGACAAGAAAGAATTGTGGCCACAGACAATAAACGTGAAAGTAGCTCGGACGAAAATACGGGTAGTAACATTGTGGGGACAGCCACATGGGGAAAAATAGACAAAACACCTGCTTTGGGGCAGTTTACTGGAAATCCAAGGGTGAAACAAATTCCATTGGACCAAACACAAGTGTCTGAAGTAGCAGAACTTTTTTTTGGAGAAAATTTCTTTGACATGTTATGTCAGGAAACTAACAGATACTATCTCCAACACCATGAAGAATATGACAGAAGTTGTAAGGTATTGAAGTGGGTGGATGTCACTTCAGCAGAAATGAAAAAATTGTTTACAATAATCATTCTAATGGGGCATACAAAGAGGTATAATCTAAAAGAGTATTGGTCAACAGATCCATTTTTAGAAATTCCCATTTTCGGCAAACTAATGAGCTGTAAGAGATTTTAACAAATTTGGTGGTGTTTGCATTTCAATAATAATGAACTGCAACCACAATCAACAAGCAGGCTTTTCAAAATTCAGCCTTTATTGAACTTTTTCGTTCAGAAATTTCAGACAGTTTATAAGCCAAACCAACAACTGTCTTTGGACGAATCTGTGATTCCTTGGAGGGAAAGGCTTCGTATGTGAACATATAATCCTGGGAAACTTACAAAGTATGGCCTGCTTGTTCATGTAGTTAGTGAAAGCACTTCAGGCTATATTGGAAATTTAGAAATTTATTCTGATGAAGGCAAAAAATTACAAGAAACTATTGTTTCCATTTTGGAACCCCATCTTGATCAAAATTACCATGTCTATCAAGACAATTATTATAACAGTGTAGCAACTGCAGAAAACCTTCTTTCGAGAAAAGTACGTGTTTGTGGAACAATTAGGGTGAACAGAGGCCTTCTTCCAGATCTGAAAGAGGAATCTAAATAGTTGAAACGTGGTGGAACCACGTTCAGGAGGAAGGGGGATATTCTTCTTCAGTCCTGGAGGAATACTCGTGTTGTGAATATGATTTCCACAATTCACAATTCGTGCATGGTTGATGTTGAAAGGAGACATGGACAAGTAAAGAAGCCTATTTGTATTTCTGAGTAATATGTTCATGAAGGGAGTTGATAGAGCCGATCAATACTTGGCCTATTATTCTCTTCCTAGGAAAACAATGAAAGTGGACAAGAAAGTTGCCTTGTGGCTTATAAATTGTGCCATTTTCAATTCACTTTTGGTTTACAAAAATCTAAACCATGATTCAAAATTGAAATACAAAGCATTTCTGATGAATGTGGCAAAGTCCTCAGCTACAGACCAGATGGTGGCGGCAGAACAAGAGTCAGACACAGACTTAGTGCGACCGGGCCCATCAACTTCCACCCCACGCAGGCCTCATGTGGACCCCCCTGGGCAACTCTCGGGTGATATGCAGAAACATACCCTCATGAAAATTGTGAAGAATGAACATTCCAAGAGGAAGCATCCTAGGCAATGCCGTGTTTGCGCAGTTCACAGAAAAAGGAGTATGACTGCCTACATTTGCAAGTTCTGTGTAATGCCACTTCACAAAGGATAATGTTTCCAGAAATATCACACTCTCAAGCACTTCTAGGAGTATTGGTGATTGTTCTCCAAAAATTTTAGTTCGTGAAATTAATTAGGAGATTTTATATTAATTTTTAAAGTGGACAGTGCCCAAGTTAGGATACTAGATTTCAAATGCTGGTCCCCAGGGTGATTTAAATATTTAAATTGCCAGTCCTCAGTGTGTTAAGTTGGAAATAATTTTAATTAAATCCATAACATGGTTTGATAAATTGTGGGAAAGTGAACATAAGCATCAAAAAGTGCCATGGTCTTGTGGCCTTCCAAAGGCATTTTGGCATCCAGCGAGGAAAGAATTAGAAGATAGGTGTTCCTTACTTCCTGGCATTCTGAAGGAACTGAATTACTTCTTTGTAACCCCATTAGCAAGTTGCCCCACTGTATCAGTGGTATACTCGTATAGATGCTGACTGATTTTCGTAAATTTTGGCACAAATATCTTGCAGTTGGAGAGCAAATCATTTTGGTACTTTCTCACTACATGCATTACATGCACTACTAGCATTACCAGCATGGTGTCATTGAAGTAAGAGAGAAGAGTAACAATTTCAAATATTGTGGCAGTTTGATACAAATTTCAACGTAGATGTAATCCCTAATATCTCAGCAGTTTATTTAATTTTGTTGAATCTTGTAAAAGTATATGTCGGTGTTGGGTGTATAACATGACAAATAACTTCATGCCATTCTGGATCTAGCGAATTTATTGAACACTCACTCTCACAGTTACACAATTCACAATTACACCACTACTGCCACATGCAGTATCACAATTACGTCTTCTGCTTCCATTCACTCCAGCGAATGCTAGCCTGCAACTGGCTGGTTACTCTCTCTCTAGTAACTCACTCACTGAATAGTGTTTGCTGCTCCTTATTTAGGCTCGGCACGGACAACACACAAAACGGTTCTATGATAGGAACAACTGTCGTGTTTACAGGCGTTCCTGGGCAACGCTGTTGAGAGTTGTTTACTGCTGTGTAGTAACTGCGGTATCCCTTGTTATGTCACTGTGGGAAGTGATGTTACGTCACCATGGCAATGGTTGCCTGACAGAGTTGCTCTTCTGTTATGTCACTGCAGGAGGCGACGGAGTGTTTACCGAGCGTTGCATGATAATGGAAGGGGTGGGGGTATGTGACATCACTAGCGAGAGCACAGAGTTCACGTGACCTCTACTTCCCATTGAACCACCCACGTCACAATATGTAGTGTGTTTCTTACATATAATCCATATTATAATTTACATGTTGAAGTTGAGAATTGCCATTATAGATTGTTGTTGTTGTTCTTCTCCTCCTTTCTTTTACACCTTGTCCTTTAATGTGTGTTTATATTTTTTGTTAAATTTGTAGTGTCTTTTCCAGCAGTTCTTGCCTATAATTTATCTTATTCATGATGTCAGACACTTTAAAATTAAAATTTAGAAAATACAGTCCTTGAGATTCCTAAAAATTCACTGATTCAGTGGTGAATGCCCTCAGTATTTCTTCATTTTGATTATCTACATGCAGGTACTCTTTAGATTTCTTCTATCAGTGAGCCTAAATTAGGATTATGATTGTCTTACTTTGTTTGGATCCATTGATACATGTTATGACAGTTTTCTTTTGTAAATTACAAAGTGAACTATCCAGGTGGCCATAGCTCAAGCGGTTAGTCACTGGCTTCTCACCGCATCGGCCCAGGTTTGATCCCGGGTCTGGTCAAGTGAGATTTGTGGTGGACAAAGTGGCACTGGGGCAGGTTTTCTCCTAGTACTTCGGTTTCCCCTGCCAATCTTCATTCCACCAATTGCTCCACAATCACCCTCACATATCATCTGGGGCTGGTACGATAGGCCAGGAGTGGCCACAGTACAAGGGACTTAGACCCACCCCACTAGCAATAAAAAAAATCCAGGTGGCCTTAATATGAAACTCATCTACACCTCCACCTTCATCTAGTGCTAGGATTAAAAATCTGTGGGAACCTCATCTTTTACTTTTGCAGGAGGCAGTATAACCTGTAGAATTCATGTTGCAGATTGTGCTCTGTGTAAGTAACTCTGCTTGATGTTGATGTTTCTTTCCAGGACTATCCAAAGTTGTCTCAGACATACTACGTATTACTGGAATGCTTGGCTCAAGACCACATGAGTTTTCTGTCAACACTTGAACCTCGTGTGTTCCTCTACATTTTGTCCTCAATCTCAGAGGGACTTACAGCCCTAGGTGCGAACCTCAATTTCTTCACAGGTACAGTCGCAGACAGAACTCCTCACACGACCCTGTGCTGTTACCCACCAATGGTTATTATCCAGTCCTACATAAGAATGATGGACATAGCACTGATTTGATGCCAGTTCCTATATTTTGCCATTTAGCATGAACCATGATTATTGGCTTTTATTTTGTGATTCCTATCCTGTTTGTAAAAGGAAAGGGGAAGAAAATGAAGAGAAGTGGACATTTGAGATATGCATGAATGTAGCAAAACAGATCTTTTAGAATAAAATGCACTTGGAGGGGTCTAGTTGGACATGTCTGTGACTGTACTTTTTCAAACCCTTACATTTACACTGTTTTCATTGTAGAACCATATATAGAAAGGGACAGTGTCAGGCTTTCATATAATTTTTTATGCTGAAGATTGTAAACTTCACATATTATTATAGCCATGCTTTGTGTCATTCTCATACATCCATGTAGACATTCTGTGGAGACTTCTTTGTAGTGGCATGTGTGTGTTCAGGCACTGTGGTTATTGTTACATCTTTCATTTCCTCTGCAGAGGGGACTTAAGGAAACATTTTATATCTCCTTTCCACAGGGAGCTTACACTGGTCTCTGCATGTGTCAGAGATGTGTTCAGGCATTCAGTTTTGCATGTGGTTATCTTATAATTGGCACACAATCGAAAAAAAAAGTTCCAGTTATTCATAGTAGCATATTCTTTGGATGTTTCACTTGAAGTTATGTTCTCGCATCTTGTGTGCTAACAGGGAGTGCACATTTCAAAACTCGTTCTCATACACTAAACATACATTAAGGTGTGCTTTTAAGTATTTTAAAAATTCTTCTTATTCAGCCTTGGACACATCTTAATACCCCTGTCATAAGTCTCATAGCAAATAAAATTGAAATGAAAACAAATATCCCAGGTTCATCCTGCACACATTCCATAAACATCATACTGTAAATCATATAGCAACATTAAGAAAAGTATAGTCACTCACAGATGGCCAATAAATGAGTGCAGTAAATTATACCAGGATCTCAAATTAGGAGTGGATTTTTGTTGCTGTAGATGACTCTGTCTTTATACAGTAATGCAAACCAGTTCCTTTGTGTTTTTTATCACAGATACAATGGTTTGTACTGGATGCTGTGCTACCCTGGACCATATTGTTACATACTTGTTCAAACAACTCACACAAAAAGGTATGGATATTATTGTGTTTATTAAAATATGTAGAAAAATTATAAATTGAAATACAAGTTACAAAAATTGAATGTGCTTTGCTGTCAGTAACAGAACAATTTTTTTATTGCTATTGGGGTGGGACTAAGTCCCTTCTACTGCGGCCACTTCTGGCCTATTGTACCAGCCCCAGATGATAGGTGAGTGTGATTGTGGAGCAATTGGTGGAATGAAGATTGGCAGGGGAAACCAAAGTACTTGGAGAAAACCTGCCCCAGTACCACTTTGTCCACCACAAATCCCACTTGACCAAACCCAGGAACAGAACCATTAGAATAATCTTGCTCTTGCAGTTGTGGTTGTAAAAGAATTCACAGATCTCTTGTATGAGGCACAGGTCTACCTGTATGGTCTCTGACTGTATGTCAGTAACTCGTTTATAGCATCAAATGGTAGGAAGATTAGTGAAAAATTAATTGGGAGGAATGAAGGAGGAAACAGTTGTGGTATAATTTCAGGTACTGTCATTTGTAGCCCTGTTTTCCATCTATAATGCAAAAATTTTAAATTTTAAGTGACACTGAATCACATTTGATTCACTATAATGTTCATTAAATGTATAAAATTTAATTAAAATATATGTACATGCAGTGTTTATGCTACATGTTTCAGCTGCACAGTGACATCTTCAGGCAACACATTTTTTTAATGAGTCTGCTGTACTGTGCACTTGGTCAGATAGAGCTCTTAAGGCACATCATTGTCATTATCATTAATTTTTATGATGTAGGATATTTTCTTCCTATCTTTTGATTGCTTCCATTTGTGTCCCATTGGGTCTGCCACTGTCTTCGTTTTGTACACCAGTGTTCCACAACCTTTTTCTACTCATGGCACACCATGAAGTATCCATGACTCAACACGGCACACCAAAATGTTATTCCCCTCAAATCACATTGTATCAGACATTTAATATAAATACGTAACGTGATCAGCTTATTACTATAATATTATTATTTCATTATCATTAAACAGAAATTGACTCGTGCTTTTATTAACAATTAATGAACTTCAATTCACTGTAGAGTGTAGAAAATACACTTCTATTACTATTAAAGTAAATACAGTAATTCTACTCTTAACTTCAATGTGATACTTGCGCCTGCATAGCTGCACACAGGCGACTGATCCGTGGTGGAATCGTTGACAAAGTAAGTCTCATTTCTTCGTCAGTGGATTTGAGCCGCTCCCTCTTTGATGTCTTAATTTCAGTTAATGTCGAAAAGTCCAGTTCACACAGATATGTAGTTGGAAGTGGTAATAACACATTAACTGCCATCTCTGAGATAGCCGGGTATTCACTCCTTATTGCCAACCAAAACATATCCAAAGGCACTTCGAGAAGTTTTAGTTTCAGTGTTCTGTCTGCTTTTAAATCTGCGAGTTCTGAATTCGCAACAAATGGATCACAAACGCAGTCGAAATCTTGTACACTCTCACCAGAGTACTTATTGAATTTCTGCTGCAACATTTCTAAATGTTCTTTAATTGTGTCCATCACCACTTTATTGCCGTCAGCAAGTGACCATACATACAGTCAGGAACATCTCAAACGACCCATCTGTAATTCTCTGTATCCACAAATTCAGCTTATTTACAAATTCTTGTACCTTATCCATATTAGTTAGTTTATTTTCGTTCCTACCTGGCATCTTTCTGTTCAGCTCATTCAAGTGTATGAAAATATCAGAAAGATATGCCAGCTTACATACCCATTCATCATCTGCAAATAAATCCGCGTACTCATGCCCCTCAACAGTCAAAAATACACGTGCCTTCTCATTAAGTTCAAATATTCGCGTTAACACTTTTCCTCATGATAACCAAAATAGCGTTATAAAAGACAGGGAAACACATGCTAATCCATGCAGTTTCAGGGAAAAGCACGTACACAGAACATGCGGCAGGTTTATCAAAGAAGCCGCGTAGATACAAGAAAAATAAAAATAAATCAGTAATGAAAACTATGATATAACAACAACTGTGAGTAAATAATTTACATTTAATTTCTTAGAATACAACATTACTGTACATAAAAATCACGGCATGCAATAAAGAATAAACAAGCATCATCTTATTTAATCAGTACAGTGGCTGAGAATAAAATACAAGCATATAAAACATGGTAACTGGGATAAAATAAAACTAATTAAATTCGACAATTAATTTCTTACAATAGGTAAAAGTTCGTATCACACCTTTCACCTTGTGACGGCACACCGGTTGCGGAACACTGGTGTACACCTAGTGTTGCTTTGTGTTCCTTATGTCATTTACAATTTAAATTGTTGCATTATAGACGGAAAACAGGACTACAAATGATACCTCAATGCAACAGAATGCTGAAATATAATATTCAGGTATTGTCCCATAATTTGCCTGCAGGGACTGAGGAAACCATGAAAGACCTCAGCCAGAACGATGCTGCAGCCAAGATTCAGTGTCCCAAATATGTTCAGAACATTACTACATGAGACAACTTTATTTGCTGGATCAGAACAAATTTCATATAAAAGCTACAGGTCTTCAGGAGATCTGTGTTTTGTATTATTAAAAATAATTAATAGTGTGCCTTGAGCGTTATTTAATAAGAGCAGAATGAATCAGAATTAAGGTTTGACACTTTTAGTGTAGACTGCCAGTATGACTTTCATGAAATTATGTTGCATTGTTTTGAAGATGAAACATATGGATGAACAGAGCTGTGAGCTCTCTTACAGGTATTCACTTTGTCTACTTAATATATAGAATATATAGAAAGCTATGTGAAACTACAAACTCTCACAGTGAAGTAATTTAGTGAAGTCTTATTGGGTTCTGTGTTATATTATTGTTTGGTGAAATTCTGTATTAGACAGTGTACAGCCTTTAGTGAATAAAAACTTTAATTTCTGTCATATGTCTCTGTATAACTAATGTATAGTGCTGGATATTGATGAGAGATAATGGTTTTCACAGGAAAAAAGACTCGGAGGGGTGTGCCGACACCCAGTGACATGTTCCTGCAGGTTCTAGAACTACATCCAGAGATATTACAACAGATCCTGAGTACTGTTCTGAATGTAATTATGTTCGAAGATTGCCGCAACCAGTGGTCAATGTCACGACCACTCCTGGGGCTCATACTTCTGAATGAGGAGGTGCAGTATCTGAGTGTTCTTAAGTAGTTTGTGTCATGTATATTGACAGATTTGTATGTTTTCAGTTTAAAGGAAAAGGAGAACTTAAATATTCCATGTCAGTATGAGCTGAACTTAATAAAATACATCAGGATACATTTTGCAACATCATTGGAGTCTTTCTCACTTACAAACAATGAGATGTTCACGATAATAACATGAAGCTTCCAGCCAGTTAAGATATTCCATTTGCTGTTTCGCTTTCTTTATGCTTTTACTTATATTTACATAGTGAAAATGCATTTTAATCTAGAGCAGTGCTGTATAACAAAAATAAATCAGATCAAACAGTGGCAGTACTGATCAGAAAAAAAAATTATATGTTACAGAACGCAGTCACTACCATGTGGCTTGGTGATGTACGGTCCCTATGAACAATTCATTTTTGTGTAAAAGCCATAGTTATGGGTGATATTTTCAGTACTTTCCTCTGCCATCTGTTTGCAAAACCACTTAAAATATGTAATGTCCATAGTATGTGAGACAGTGACAGATGATCATCATGTGGCCTTCACCCAGATATCCAGGGATGAAAATACCAAACACATGCTCACATGAGCCCTGATAATTCTCAAACCCCAGACTATGCAGAAACAGAGATGATCCCAGTAATCACCAGGTCTGGGGCTGTTAACTTATGCATCTACTCGTAAACTAACCGATAGGATGAATAAAAATGTAAAAAAATGTAGTTGCTCTTAGAGAATTTTATCCATATATTTTCATCTATTGTTTGTTTCATGTTATGCATTCAGTATTTCAATCAGCTGCGTGAGAACATCATTCGCAGCCAACCACCAGATAAACAGGCCGCCATGGCACAGTGGTTTGAGAACTTAATGGATGGCATTGAAAGAAACTTGCTCACAAAGAATCGTGACAGGTTAGTGTCATATGACATAGCAACAAGTGTCAGTCATCTGTTAAGCTTCAAGCATATTAATGAAGTGTGTTATGTTGTTTTAATAAATTAGTGAAATTTTCTGTTATAATTAAAAGTAGGTGTCCTATAAGCCAGTACAGCTGTAAACGTGATAGTTTTTTGCACAGCAATGTTTATTTTGTTCCACACTTTTCATGATTCACTCTTTTATTAGCCATGTTGTACAATACTTATGATTGTTATCTACCAGAGCCTCATACAATGTCCCATTATCAAAACAAAACCCAGCACTTCTATTGTCTTTTTTTAAAACTCAGTGTTAATTGTCATGGGGACAGTGGTAATCGCAGCCAGTGCTTGTGTTTCCTAGAGTTATGCTGTTGCAGGTTTACCCAACTTCACATTAGAAATGTTCAAGTGTGGGTCTGAATGCTACCACAATTTGCCTCATTATACATGTGGTAAAGATACCAAGAGGGGCTCTTTGTCCCACATATCCTGTTCACTGCTTCCATTGGCTCAAACTGGATTCTGTCTCCTCTCCCTTCCATAGATTTGAGTGATCACTTTCCGTACAACCTACTTGTATAATCAAACCGCATTGTCACCATTCTCACTTTGACCCTAAGGATCATGTTTCTCTGAAATATTGTTATCCACATACAAGATTGCATAATATCACAATCCAGATGATAAGACCTGATAGCCCATATGTCTCCTGTACCATGCACAGGTGACGCCTATATTTTGGGTATAAGTATCTAGAATAAATCAACCTGCCTGTATGTGGATATATGTTGCTAATTGGGAGTGAGGTGGTTCATATGTATATAAATAAATGGGAACAGAGCACTTTCCTGTTAAGATGAGAGCTCCTGAAGACTCACAGTCATCAATGAGCAAATATTTGCATCTGTGTATCAACATCATATACTAGGTGGTTCAAATATGACCGGGACTAATTTAAAAAAAAAAAAACAAATATAATTGCCAAACACTTACTTGCACATGTCAGTCTTCAATGTACTCCCCTCTGGAGTCAACACATTTTTTCCAACTTCCTGGAAGCATCCTGATACCCAAAAAAAAAAAGACTTGTGGTTGGCCACATATCCACTCCCGAACAGTCTGCATGACGGCATCGTTGTCCACAAACCACATGCCTTGCAAGTCTGATTTGAGCCTTCCGAACAGGTAGAAATCACTTGGGGCCAAATCGGGACTGTATGGCGGATGTGTCAGAAGGTTCCGTTTCAATTTCCGAAGGGTTTCCATTGTTGTTTTGGCCATATGGGAGCGTGCATTGTCTTGAAGGAAGGCTACCCGCTTTCCACCTGTCTTCCGCTTGGATCGGATCTTACTCCAAGTTCCTTGATGGTGATGCACCTATTCTCACGAATAAGCATGTCTGCACAATCAGTGTTTGGCTCGGTGATGGGTGTTCGCGGCCAACGATCATGCGGTTCATTCTCCATGCGCTCTCTGCCCTCTCTGAAGCACTTACACCACTCAAACACACGGGTCCGTGAGAGACACTTTTCCCATACTGTTGTTTGAGTCTGTGGTGAATTTCAGTGGGCTGGACGTTTTCTCCAACAAGGAATTTGATCACAATGCGTTGTTCCACGCTCCGCGGTACCTTCTGTTCTCTCATCACTCTAGCAACTTCCAGACAGGACTGAACAGGTTCTAACCCTAACAGGAGGGAGGGTGGAGGTTGTGGCTTCACTCTCTCAAGGTTGCACAGCTGCTGTGCAGTGCAGCTTGTATACAAAAAAATCAGTCCTGGTCATATTTGAACCACCTAGTACTTATTTCATGTGATAAAAGAAAATGATATTGTGCCATTATAAAATACCTTCAATATATCATCACGTCAGATCACAAACTANACTACTACTACTACTACTACTACTACTACTACTACTACTACTACTACTACTACTAGTAGTAGTACTTCTTCTTCTACTACTACTACTACTAATAATAATAATAATAATTTTTTTAAATATTTAACAGTACTCTTAATAATGTTATATTTTAGCATCCTGTTACGCTGATTCATGTCCATATTTTATGCTGACCGTCTTATAGTGTATACACTTTTTCACCTTATTCTTCACTTCCACATTACATGTTTCAGCAGTAATGTGCCATCCTCAGGTGTCTTTATGCATGTTAAACTATTGTACTGCATGCCATGATGTGTTCATTCTAAAAGGACTAAAATCTGTATTCGTCATATAGGACGATGAATTCTAAATAATGAAACTTTTCAGGATTCTTCCTACGTCGCACTCAAACACGCGAATTACGCCAATCCTCTTTTATGTGAGCATTCTTCCTACATATATTTGTGTATCGTGTTCTGTGTTGTGTTTTGCTCCTGTTACTGTGTGCGTTGTACTGCTGGATCTGCGTGTGTGTGTCAGACGTTCAAAAATGTCTCTTGTCTTACAATTTGAATTAATATTAAAAATCGCCAGAAAAATATACCATGGGTGCCGCGTTGGACAGGGCTGATATACATGGATACTTGAACAAGAAGGTGATCATTTCTAATTATGTTACTTGTAGTCTTCTTCCATCTGTAATGCAACAATATCGATACAGATTGATACTTTTGTGCAAAAAAAAAACTGGTTTTAGTCTGCAAGTAAACTATACCAACCGAGCAACCGCCGCTTGTCTGCGAATTTAGTGCCAACTTTAGCAGATAGAGGGTGTCACATGGTCAGCACAGCGAATCCCCACAGCCGTTAATTTCGGTTTTCTAGACTGGAGCCACTATTTCCTTGAAATAAGTCCTCAATTATCATGAGGCTGAGTGGAACCCGGACCTCTGGACCTGTAGCCAGGAACTCTGACCACTTGACCACAGAGGCAGTCATTTCAGTGCAACAGGATGCCGAAATATAATATTCTAATTATGTTATGACAAACTGTAGTTCTGTTTGTTTCCAGGTTTACACAAAACCTATCCATGTTCCGAAGAGATATAAATGACTCGCTGAAAGGTCCAAACATGACTGCAGCATCTGTCAGTGACATGATGACTTCGTAGTGATTGTTTCATTCTTCTAGCCAGCGAATGAATGAACAAGAGAAACAGTTATGTAGTAGGGATGCCAAAAGATAGAACTTCTACTGATGCCATACTCCCTCCTGAAGGTCAAGGATGTTAAATTTAAATGAAAGACCATATTATTCCTCTTTAGTCTGCATTTACATATATTTTTATAATATGTGTTACTTTGTTTTGGAGTATGTTTAAGTAAGAAAGGTTTACATTGGTAATGTTCCTTTTTTTTTTTGTTAAAATAATGCCACCATGCAGGCTTACACGCTTTAACTGTGTTGAATGAATTTTAAAAATAACTTATCATGTGAAGTAGTTATGCTGACTGGCATCTCTATTATTTAGCATATGAATTTGTGTGCTGAAAGTGTGTGTAGGAGTGAGATTATTGCTGTGGAACATTCAACATTTGCAAGTGTAGCCTGAGCAAAGACAAAGAGCAGTTTACACTGTGCACTCTTTCCAGACCTCTGTGTGCTTGATTCATGGTGTTCCAATTGGTGTGAGTGTGTGTCTTGCCATGTGTACGTATATATGTGAGCAAAGATGAAGAGATAGTATGAATTTCATTACCCCTGTGATCCATTGTGAAAATATTAATAAAGATGATGAATCGGAAAATTTTAAGATGAATAATATTAGCATAAAAGTACAGATCACATTTGGTAACTATTATTATTACTGTATTGTATGTATGCAAGCATAAGTGAAAAGACAGTGATGTCAAGTTTGTTATTATTTCTATAGCTTGTTCCCAAATAAAGAACTTGCAAGTACCAGGTATTGTTTGTTTTGTTCAGACATTAACAGGATCCAGAAGTGAAGCAGTAATTATTACTTGGAAGAAGGAATTATGAATGAGATCAAGACTACAATGAACTTTTGCTTATAATAAACAAACATTAAATTCACATGCCAGCATTAACTGTTTGGTTACTCAAATTGATGAGAAGTCAAGACTACAATCTGTAACTGTCCAATTTATGGGATGGTCAGTTGATGCTTTGGTGTATGGTTAGGGTTCTGCGACATTAGTCACTTTCGTCTCGCAGTTGGAGATTTTCCTCCTGAGACGTGCAGCAGGTGGCTTGGGTCAAGCTTGAAGTCAGCTGCCCATCAGTAAGTCAGTCAAGCTAATGCATAACATGAGGCCGGGTTCTTTAGAAATTCTAAGTTTGACAGGGGAAGTCATAACTTTAGCAGAGCCAATTTATGCTGCCCCAAGTTCCAGTTTGACAGCCACCCAGCAGGTGGCAAAGTTCACTCGTAAACTCTGCATGCATGGGTATTTCTTTTCCTAGTTGGAGGAGAAAGATTAAGCAACCTCCCAGCTTGCCTGGTCCAGCCAATCAAAATATGAAGTAGGATGTCCTTTGCCCGAATTTTGGATAACCATGGCAGATATTTACCATCCAGAGCACACTTGGCAGAGAGAACTCTGAAATTTACATTCAGTGGGGGNGGGGGGGGGTGCATGTGTTCTGGTCCCCATATATACACTCTGTGGTGCCTATCGACTTGTGTGTCTTAGTGACCAGTAAAGGAGCTTAAATCCACCAATCAAGTGGATCACTACAGCGCAGTTTTCATCTGAATAGTGCAATTCAAATAAAGACTTAAAACAGCTAATTGGTGTTTAATGTTGACCTTCCTATGCCTGAAGCACCCCCTCAAATCACCAAATTCGTGGCCAGTCAACACAGCCTGAGATGAGGTGAATTTCTCTACCGGAGCTAGTAGCAGCAAAGAACGGCTACAAATCTGAACAAATAAACCATCAGTATTAAGTAGGATTTGAGCTTCCCACCTCAGTGTGTATGAAGTGTTCTATCTAATGGGATATAATGCCATGTAAAAAGGGTAAAGCTATCCCTGTAAGAGGCCGTGGAGGCCCATAGGGTTGTGGGATGTTGAGGCTCCCTCGTCTTTAGAGAGCCAGCACAGATGATGGTAAGGTTGTCAGCCTTACTCGCTGGCCGCGCTGGTTGTGAAGCAAACATTTCTTGTGGTCAGTTTTAGAAATTATGAACATGTTCTGTGGCCATGCAGAGTGCATGTGAAAGTGAAATAAATCCTGTAGAGGAGATTCTTATTATTTAAAATTCAAAGAAAATCAAGAGGAAGGTTTCAAAACAGAACGCTTTTATGTAAACAGAGATTGAAATTGTAATTGCAAAAGAAAAATCTATGTAAAGTTACAGGAAAGTTGTTCATTGCGATTAATCAAAAACGCGGTTTATTAATATCATTTGTTTATAAAAATGAATAAGATTTTATTCAGTGTTATTTTGAGAAATCAGTAAGCATAAAAGAACATCCCAATTTGATTACCAGTAAGCAGATATCACTCTATTTTAAAATTATGTCTTCATATAGATCTAGTTATAAAAATGCTCAGCAGTGGGCTTTAGCTTGTATTGTTTGCATGCTAGTTCACTATTGCACAGAGTGCATGATTGTTAGAAATAGTGAGAATGTGATATACACGTATTAAATACTGAACAACTGTTATTTTTTTATTGTTTTTACTACAGCTGCCACTTTGTGCAAGAGGTTATCTTGTTTGAAAGACAAAGCGATGAGTTTGTCTGCCAGCTAGCAGTAAGTCTGATGGAATGAAAATAACTATAGTAATGACAATGTTCTGTCTGCATTGCTGAAATGTAGATGTAGAATAAGAATCGTTTTTTGTGTCATGACTATTTTCTGTGATGTTTCTAAGTCACATAATGTCTTTCAGGCCTCATAAAAAAATATCTAAGCCATTCTGAATCACACCTTTACTTTCAGCCAATTTGCTGGTATTCCTCTTTATTAGGCATATGCAAGAATGTCTTTTTGTTCAAGATGATATCCACTTGAGAATTTTTCCTACCACACCAGTTCTCTTGCTGTCATCACAGTTTATAACATAGCCACTTTCCACAGTGCACTAAAGTATAGTCCTTATCCCTTTTGATATGAGATAATTTTTCTAATTAACTATATTCATATGTGATATTTTAAAAGGAGTTAAATTCTCGTGCCATGTCCTTTTTCACTAGGAGCAGAGAGAGGGAGGGATAGAGAAATCTTTCATGGTCAGTTATACAGTTTACAGTGTCATGCTGAGGGGTACATACTTATGAATACAAAAGAAACTAGTTCAAGGTTATTTTCTATGATTATACATAATTTTAGAATGTTAAAAGAAGATGAAAACAGTTTCCTAAAACAGTTGTACATATAAGAATTACATTATACATTACAATAAATATCTTAACAATCCTGTATGCAATTCAATGATTCATGTTCCAAAGCCTTGCAAGCAGCCATATGCTGGGCAGGATGTTGAACAGAATAGATGAATGTTCTTCAGGAGAATCTGTTTTCTTTATGCTGTATGATCTTGAGGTTGTACTTTGTAGGAGATCAACGTTTTATGTATTTAATAAAGTTCCCCTTGGTGTGGCTGCATCTAGCCTGTATGGTCTATACTGAAGTCGTGAAAAAAATTTCACATGGATTGACCCCCTGCACCCCTTTTCTCCAGCTGCTTACCTTCTCTCTCCAACATTCCTTTCCAGTCTAGCTTAGCTGGCGTCAAATGCCATGTGTTGGCTAACATAGGTGACAGTGGCCTGGAGAAGAATATACTAACAACAGGCGTAGAATTGGAAGCCTAAAATGCAGCCATCTCCACTGTTTATAGGATTCTTTCCGTGACCTCAGTATAATCTTCTATAAAGGTAAAGTCCGTCTGCTTAATTAATTAAGAACCATGCCATGATGGTGTAGGAGGATGTGGAGGTATAACTCCACCATTGTTGACCTTAACACCGGATGGAGGTGCATGGTGACCTTCCTGTCCCAGCATCTTTACCCCCGTTACCAAGTGTATAGGAGGCTGGGTGGTCTCAAAGGTGGTCTGGATGCTGTGGAGTTGAGAGAAATATTGTATTGTATTTTATTTTCATCCGTTTTGCTACATAGTAACATTTGGACATGTCATTCAGTAATATAAGTTAACAAAATAAATCTACATAGTTACAAGCATACTACGAACTATATTGATTGATTAATTGATTGATTTATCCAGGAGTACAATGTAACAAACAAACCTACAAAGTTACAAGGATACTAACAACATTTTACAATCCTAAGCAATATGTAGATACTACATTTGAAAAAGAAAAAAGAAAAAACAAATACACAAATCATTGTATACAACTTATGATTTGCTATGACATCCAAATATGAGTACTTTCACCATCCATCTTTTTATTTAAAACTAACGAATTCATTTATCGTGTAAAAGGAATGTTTCAATAAAAAGGATTTTAAGTCTCTTTTAAAAACTGAAAAACCCACTGAGTTTTTTATTTTGTCAGGCAACTTACTATGCAATTCTATCCCCATATTTACCACACTCTTTTTAAATAATGTAGTTCTACAGAACTGAACATGAAAATCCTTGTTTATTCTTGTATTATAACTATGAATATTTATATTCTGGATCAAATCTGCTTTGTGCTTTTTTATGTAACACAACACCTCTAAGATATACAACGAAGTAACCGTAAGGATGCCATAATCTTTAAAAATTTGCCTGCATGAGTCTCGTTTACCAAGTCCACTAATTATTCGCAGCACCCTCTTCTGCATTCTAAATACCTTTATACTATCACCTTCACACCCCCAAAATATTATGCCATATCTCAATAATGATTGAAACTTTGCAAAATAAATGCTTCTTAACATATTTGGACTCAAAACTCCTCTTAGTGATTTAATTATGTAGGATGTTTTACTAAGTTTTGAACATAATGACTGGATGTGGGTACTCCATTTAAGGTTTTCTGTAATATCTATACCTAAAAATCTCAGTTCTGATGAATAAGCAATTTCCAAGTTGTTATAAAATATCCGTGGTCTAACTACAAACCTACTTTTACTAAGATGGAATGACATAGCAATTGTTTTTTTAATATTTATTAAGAGGTTATTTACCTGAAACCATGTTTCAAGCTGTTTCATGATCTTATTTATTTTCTGTTGCGCTATGCCTTCCTCTTTATCAATAACAAGCACATTAATATCGTCTGCAAACAATACCATTTCTCCACCTTGTACATTTAGCGGGAGATCATTTATATACAGAAGAAACAGTAGTGGTCCCAGAATTGACCCCTGTGGTACCCCATGTATTGTTTCCCTTAAAGGTGATATATATTTATTTTGGGTCTTTTTATTCAGGTAATTTGTTTCAACAAATTGTACTCGGTGGGATAAGTAAGATTTAAACCATAAATTAGTAACCCCCCTGATCCCATAATAGTTTAATTTATCTAGTAGTATACTGTGGTTTATCACATCATATGCTTTTGTCAAGTCAAAAAATATTCCTATAACATGAAACCGTCTATCCATTGCCTCCTGTATACTCTCAATGAAGGTCTAGGAAGCTGTTTCTGTCGATTTGTTTTTTCTAAATCCATTTTGCACTTCTGTTAATATTGCATATTTTGTTACAAAGGAAATCAACCTGTTATACACCAGTTTTTCTAGTATTTTAGAGAAAACAGACAGAACTGCTATTGGCCTGTAATTACAAACTTCATGTCTTTCCCCTTTTTTATACAGCGGTCTTACTTTAGCTATTTTCATCTTATCTGGAAACACCCCTGATTTTAAAGAGGCATTAAAAATATGTACGAAAGGTTTCTTTATGTATTGTGAACATCTCTTGGCTAAATATTCTGGAACTTGAAGAAAGCAGTCTTCTGGGATTTGGCACCGTGTATATGTGGTGTTAACCGATGTTTCGGAGGAACGTATCGCCCCCATCTTCAGGGTAGAAGAAAAAGTATAATAAATCTGCAAGCCGTGAAAGCCTCAAATCTTACATTCTGGAACTTCGTCAAAGCCTGCAGATGGTTTACCTCTTAAACTCTTTATTACCCTCTCTATTTCAATTTCGGTAATAGGGAGCCAAAACATTGTGTTCATCTGATATTGAATCCTCTGTTGTGAGGTTTGTACTGGGGAATGGTTTATATTATTCGCTAAGAGATCTTCAATGCTTTCAATAAAAAAGGAATTCAACATGTCTGCTATTTTTTGTTGATTGGATGTTTCCTCACTTCCATTCCTTAAACTAGTTATATAGTCACCCTGCCTAAAACTTCCAGTTTCTTTATTTATTATTTGCCAAATTGCCTTCGTTTTATTATGTGACCTTAACATAAACCTATCATTTTCTTTTCTTTTAGCTTCTGTTATAACACTTTTATACATTTTCTGATATCTATTAATGTATTCCAATATATCATTTGATAAATTTGTATTTTTCTTTAAAGTGTTTAAAAGTCTCATTTTCTGACTTGAAACCTTTATCCCCTGAGTAAGCCATTTAATTTCATTATGGTTTTTCTTATGAACTGTCTTTAAAGGAAAAGATCTTTCAAAATAGTACAAAAATCTGTTCAAAAAAGTATTGTAAGAGGTATTTACTTCATCATATAGAAGAACATGTTACCAGGATTCCATCTCAGGTAGATGGTTGAATTCTTCTATATTCCTACCTGAAAACTGTCTTCTTGTTATTTTTTCCATCCTGTTTTAGGCTTATTTACCTTTATATGTAGTATCTGTGCAAGATGATCGGAATACCCCAAATCTAACACTTCCGTTAAGTTTTTATAGTATATCTTTCCCCTAACAGTAATGGAACCCCAACCATCCAGCCTGTAGCCCATCACTGTACTGACTGAGCTTTGTATTAGTTTTTAATTCCATTAACTATCTTTTAACTTGTCTATTTTCACATTTGTTTCTTTTTTCAAATGAAACAATGAAATAACAGAAAATTTAAGATGAATGGAAGATGGACATTAGTAATGAACTGGGGCGTTTCTACTGGACAGCCTGAAACTACGTTAGAGTAATGATTTTGTTTCAGAAATAGTATATAAATTCAGAATCTCCTGAAAAGTCGTTTCGAAGTGGAGCTGGGTGGGTTGTTTCTATATGTGCAGCTTGAATGCCTTCTACAACTTTGTCTCGCATGATCTGTTCTCATATCTGATGGGAATTCCATCAGCTACGTCAAAAGCCAGGACACAAGTTAACACTGTGGTACAATAAACCGGTTTCTTGCGAAAACCGCATTCCATGAGCTTTTATGTGGTTCAGTGGTGTGCGGTTCGTTGTTCCTTTGACACAAAACAGGAAGCAGTCTAGCGATAGTGTATGCGACGTTTTTTTTCTTCTTCTTCTTCTTCTTCGGGAAGGCTGGTTTGTTATTCCCCTCTATGACATTCAGTTTATTCGCGCTCGCCACGTTTGAAGAGCCGGCTGCAATTCGTAGGTGGTTACGGGAGAAGCACTAGATTGTCATACCCTGTGTGGAAGTTACGGGGTATTGGGTTTATTGTTCAAACGTATAACACAACATATTACTCTTGTATGATAAATCCCTTGTTTATGGTTACTAACATATTTTTGGCCGTACTACTGAAAATTGTAATTAATAGGATAATAATGTTATTGACTTCTGTAACATCCAACTTAAAATTTAAATTCGAGTAAAATTTTAAATCCCAGTCGTCACTGACATAGTGCTTACGTTAACCATCGACGGGAAGTCCAGCAATCCACCCGTCTTCATTTTACCTGTCCTTATAACCTTGCAAGTTTGCGGCAGAAAAAAACTGCCTCGGGCTTCTTGTGACGGTGATGTTATAGTGGAGTGCGGAGGAAAGACAGTGTTTTGTTCGCGCCTGAGATGGGAGGAATGCTGTGTTACTTATGCGGCATTCTACTCATCATTTCTTACTCTGGTAAGTGAAAATTCATTAAGTGGATGAAATTTCTCATACATCCTAGTCGTATTTTACTTGGTATACAGAATGTACACAAACACAGTCTTCAGTGCAGTTTTCTGTGCGGTTCCTTGTTTAACCACTCCTATTTCATGTCCTTCCACTACTACACATGTTTCGGTCTCACAAGGACCATCGTCAGGTGTTGTATGTTGTTGCACGTGAACTGTTGCATTGTTGGCACACTGACCATGTGCTACATGTGAGATTAATTCTTTAATAATTGCACAAAATTAATTACTTTCATTGCGTTCAAAATATAAAAATTAAAAAGTTAAGAAGTTGTAGAATAAATGGTCGTATATTGTAACGCCTCTCGCAAATGTCGCGTATTTGTTTGTTGGTGGTGTGTGCCTGTTTGCGTCTTGGTACGTGCGGTTGAGTCTCGCGTGTGTGTGTGTGTGGACAGTTTACATGCAACAACATATACACAACGTATAACATATCTATCTAAGGCTCTACATCCCTTTTGTTGTACTTTGGCTGCTTATTCAGTTTCTTAATCGTATACACAGTCGGTAGGACTCCTTGGACAGGGGATCAGCCCGTCCCAAGGCCACTACTTACTCACAGAAAAACACAAACACAGAATAGAATCCATGCCTTAAGTGGGATTTGAACCCACGATCCCAGCGTTCGAACAAGCGAAGGCAAATCATGCCTTAGACCGCGCGACCACCGTGATCGGCATATCGTATACGTATATGAAGTGCTAAAATAGTGTAGCAGGATGCTAGAGTACAACATATCTTACTTACGAGTATACACTACAGAGCTGAACAAGATAACTGGAGAGGATTTCCTGAATTCTGTACGCAGTTTCCTTGAAACGTGTGGTGGATACAGAGTTCGTAATAATGGCGCTACTTAAAGACCGGCTGCAGGAGCAAACGCACTATGAATTTGCGCCATTTTAGTTTAGCCTATTGAAAGCAGACTGAAATGTTACGTTTCGTCCATTCTGTTATAACATCTGCTGCGATATTTTCCCGTAGTGTACAGTTTATTCTCTAAACCGTCCAGACCGGCTCTGAGGCCTACCCAGCCTCCCCTCCAACGGGTACCAGTGTCTCTTTCCCCTGAGATTAAGCGACCGAAGCATGAAGTTGACCATTCAGCTCAACATACAACCGTTAAGATGAAAAGTGTTTGCAATTTTTATTTTAAGTTCCTGTTATTTTCGATATACCTTCTTTCACAAAGTTGTTTCTGAATCTCTCAGACTACGTGAAACTGACAATAGTGCCCTTACGTCTTAATTGCTTGGTGCTCAATTAAGTGTAGGAACAAATTTGATTTAAGCACAGTTCCTTTTTTTTCCTTGGCTCTACAGCCCCAGTGGGCCTAGGCCTACCTCCATGAACTTCTCCGTTCACTTCGGTTTTTCTAGATCTTACAAATACGGTAGGACTCCTTGGGCGGGTGATCAGCTCGTCGCAAGGCCTCTACCTGTACACAAACACAGAAAAACGCACACAAACATCCATGCCCTGAGTGGGATTCGAACCCACGATCCCGGTTTCCAACCGAGCGAAGACAGTACATGCCTTAGACAGCTCGGCTACCGTGACCGGCTAGTTCCTTATTTACCACACAAAATTGTGTGCTCTAAGGGCGAGGGCACGCCAAGGAAACTGGCAACAGCAATTCAATCGCAATTTCTGAGAACTGTCATCAGCCTGCAAGCAGGCAATTGGTTTCCAGATTAGCTTGCGCACACTTAGGAAACATGTTGCTCAGTTGCTGACGTCATCTCGTCCGGTCCGACTTATTGCGTCATGGTAATTTTTAATTTCTTGCAATGTCAGATAATACTGGTCCTGTCATGATATGGCGGTAGTTGAGACGGTATGAGAAGAAAGGACGACGACCATATGGAAAATACTGGGATATTAATGAATTTAATTAATTTTAATTAAGGGTAACTTTTCTTAATCAGGAAATGTCGCTTTCACGCACGATACGAAATTTTGACATACAGTGCAACAATTGTAGCAAGATAGGAGACATCCGATGATGGCCGTATACGGCAGAAACATGTAGTGTGGAAGAAGGTTGGCTAGATAATAAGTTGCATTTAAAACGGAAATATATGAAATAAATGATACATTAATGTGTGGGATCGTGCTTAAATACAATAAGAGGAAAAGAAAACACTGGTTTCATCCGTTCTTCTGGGAGAATTTGAACTCAGGTGCTTATATTGTTTCGAAAGAACTTAACCAGAATCCAGGCTCCTTCATTTCGCGAGAAATTCTTTCCCAGGCCAAATATATTTTGCCCTGCCTGGAATAGTCTGCGTAACATTTGTCATATACCAGGCTCCTGCTCAGTTAACTGCACGAGAACAAAATTCGCAGCTTCGTCAACCTTTCGTGCAGTCTAAAGAGGGAAGTGAATCAGAAGTGGTTAGAACACCTGACACTAGACAATTACCCGGTAACGCAACTGTGAGAAGACTGTCTTGCTCAGCTGTCTGAGCGTTGAGTTTCTCAGTCATCCGCAAGTTGCGTTACCGTTTACTCAATTTGCGCTGCTCCATTCAGTTCCATGTGTTCAACTCAGTCCGATAACAATTCTCGGAAATTGCCGTTGCGTTGCTATTGCAATATTTCCTTAGGAGGAGGGCACACCAAGGAAACTCGCAATCCGAGGATTGTTATTAGCCTGCGTTGAACACATGTTACTGAATACCTACCTACCTAACCACCTACTACTCGGCGCTACAGCCCTGGGTGAGCCTTGGCCTCCACTACAATCAGCCTCCGCTGCTCTCTATTCTTCGTCTTCTCTATCCAGCCTTTCACCTTCATCTTCTTCAGGTCGTTCTCAACATCGTCTAGCCATCTCATACTGGGCTGCAGCATTGTGCGTACATTCCAAGTTGCCATCACAATATCATTCAGTAACATGTGTTCACCTCAAGGCTGATAACATTTCTCTGAAATTGTGGGTGCGTTGCGGTTGCAAGAGTCTGCCCTTGCCCCAAGGTCATTCAGAGCTTAATTGCATAAAATCTAAGAACTATTGTTTCCTTAATGTCGGTTTAAAAGAAAATAGGATATTTGGCTAATTCTCCAGCCTTTACAGTGGGGCAATATCACACATATGGTAGGTGCTTACTCTTCACAGAATTTAGGTGTTATTTATGATAAATTCAGTCAGGATCGTCAATTCACGACGCAGCTAAGGTTCTTGTAAAGAGTGCTGGCCAATACTAGTTCAGGTAAAGTTCCGACGGGTTACGGTACTGCAGGGTAACTCCGTAGTCAAATCCGTCTAGCTCAGGGGTCTCCAGACTTTTCGAACCGCGGGCCACATTAGGTAATTCAGCACTTTCACCGGGCCGGATAAAATGAAAAATTAATAACTCCAGGTATATGAGTTTTAATGAAAGCACAGAATTTCATAAACTAAATACAAAGTACGTGAGAATAAATTATCGTATATTAATTACAACAGAGAGTAGCAGCAAAAGCTCATATTTTCATCATAAATTATAATAGAACAATTAATGTGAATGATGGAACTCTTTTTGCATTCTTAAAATCTGATTAAAATGAGGTTCAAATTTTGAAACGCTAATCACAAGTAGCGACTTTAAATGTTCATGGGATAAATTTGCCCTGTATTTCGACTTGATGTACTTTATCTGGGAAAAAGTTTGTTCACACAGATATGTCGTCCCAAAAATGGAGATAAATTTACAAGCAAATTTCTTTAAATTTGAAAATTGCTCAGAGTTCAGAAATTTATAAAATTTGATCAAATTTCCTTCCTTGTATTTGTCTTTAATATGATAATTTTCCTGAAGTTCAATAATTTCAATTTCAATTTGACTTGGGACATCTGCAGCATCACAGTCAAACGGATTTTGAAACAATCTACTTTCCTGAGTACTGGAATTCAAATCAGCAAATCGCTTCCAAAATTGTTCTTTCAAAACTGAAATGACTAAATTTGCAAATGAGGAAGGAAATTCTGCTTCACCCTTTTTATGCAACTCTGCACAGTATAGCATATGAACAAAGTTACAATTTTTCACTTGACTTTCCAGAAGTATCAACTTTGCTCTGAATGCCTTGATAAGTGCAAATAAATCACAGACTAATTTATTTTCACCCTGCAATTATAAATTAAAATGGTTCATGTGGTTCACCAGATCAGCAAAAAATTCTAATTTCCAAAGCCACTCGGCATCTGATAAAAGTGGTTCGTGATGGTTTTTCTCGGTAAGAAATATATCAATTTCATTCCTGAGCTGAAAGAAGCGCGAAAGAACCTTTCCACAGCTAAGCCATCGAACTGCAGTATATGTCAGGTCAATAAGCTCGGAATCACATTTACCAGTACTCACTGGAAAATTAGTTCAATTGGCACATTTCTGCACAATTCTTTCGCAGGCCGGATAAAATCACATCGTGGGTCGGATGTGGCCCGCGGGCCGTAGTTTGGAGACCCTTGTTCTAGCTCATTCTAGCTGTATAAAAACTATACTTCTTCATATTTACAGACATGAAATTACTGTGAGGAATGAGGTTGGAGCACCATATTTTAGAAAATGAAGCGTTAATTTAAATTGTAATGGTCGGGAGGGGTGATGGTGGAAGTATCTTCCCTGGTGTGCATCTCTGGTGCCTTTTCACTACCTTATGTTCGGAGTAAAGATGACTCAGCGTTTATTGCGTGTACACACTTTCCAGCCTATCTTGCTGTTTGATGAGGAGGCAGCGTTGTAATTCATATTATAATTGCAAATACACGTATGTCCCTGCTAGCTTGGCCATGTCTGCCTGTGTCTGTCTGCCCACTCGAGAACGGCTGAACCGATTGCCATGAAATCTGATATTGGGAAATTTCGCTAAAATTTATCAACACATAACCATTTTGCTTAAAATTTTTGGAGGGGAAAGGGCACTTATTTATCGTATTTGTTTATGGGTCTTATAGCAGAATTTTACGTGAACTCAATACAATTAATGTAACATGTCTCTGTGATTGATACTCTCCGTGTGGAGCCTGATTCTGACCTCGGCCGGGACATTAACTGTCCTGAGGTTTTGCGTAGTTCTTATCTTATTCACTCAAATGCTAGGATGGTACATCAGATTTGAAGACCGCATTTTTCCACATCATTTCCAATTCATTAATCATTGATCATCCAACCATTCGACACTATATAATCTCAGCTACTGACAGCATCGTTAAGTAAGTCATAAATATTTAAACAGTTCTTTGAGGCACTGTGCTACAAGCCGGAAGGTCGCGGCGTCAATTCTCGATGAGGTCATTGGATTTTTTTTTTTTTCAATTGACCTAATACTTCCAGCCGCATTGTGACCCTGGTGTCGACTCAGCCCCTAACAGAAATTAGTACCAGGAATATTCCTGGGGATAAAGGGCGGCCGACGGGTAGGGCTGACAAACTTGCCGCCATCTATGAGCCGATTTTCTAGAAAATGTGGGGAACTCAACATCTCACAACCCTATGGGCCTCCCCGGCCTGTTACAGGGACACTCTGACTTTTATTTTTTTACTTGTTTATAAAGAATGCCATCTTCTTGGATGTGACGCCGTGAAAACCACAAATCTTATACAGTTCTTATATTTCTTATATAGTTCTTCATAAATGTGGCCGACAAAGAAAATTAGTAAATGTCGGAAATCCCACACTTGTAACAGATCTACCCTCTTATTTAATGCTGTATCTGTTTCATTGGGAGATAAGTAATGTAAAGGTTCGGAAATGCACTCTTAGCGGAACAGTTCCGGGGCGTTCGTTCGCGTTTAATTATCTCGAAGATCCTAAGATTTTACGGAGAAGTGAACAGGGCATAAAGTGCGTGTTGAGTTTTCTCTACACGCGGTAGCGTAGTTGGCTGAGGCACTATGCTATAAGCCGGAAGGTCGCGGGTTCGATTGCCAATGAGGTAATTGGATTTTTTCAATAGACCTAAGCCTTCCAGCCGCAATATGCCCTAGGGTCCACTCAGCCTCTTAAAAGAAATAGGTACCAGGGATCCTCCTGGAGGTAAAGGGCGGTCGTTGCGTAAGGCTGACAACCTCGCCACCGTCTGTGAGCCGATTGTCTAGACCAGGGGTCTCCAAATTTTTCGAAACGCGGGCCACATTAGGTAATTCAGCACTTTCAACGGGCCGGATAAAATGAAAAATTAATAACTCTAGGTATATGAGTTTTATTGAAAGCACAGAATTTCATAAACTAAATACAAAGTACGTGAGAATAAATTAACGTATATTAATGACAACAGACAGTAGCAGCAAATGCTCATATTTTCATCACAAATTGTAATAAAACAATTAATGTGAATGATGGAACTCTTTTTGCATTCTTAAAATCTGATTAAATTGAGGTGATGATGATCTGTTACAATTACACTGCACCACTGCAAGAAGTCTTGTGCACAAGACGGCTAGTAACGAACTGCTCGCGCTACCTACATTGCCACGAAGTGACACTGCCGATCGAGGTCGAACAAGTACGAAGAAATACCACGCAGTGTACGGTCCAGAATTAGTAAAATTGTGAATAATGTTAATATTAACATAATATGGAATATCAATATATTTTAAACAGAATCTTAATTAATGAATTTGAAATCTATGCACAAGTATTTTTTTTTTACCAATACTCATTGGCGCATTTCTGCAAAATTCTTCATCTCGGGCCGCATGTGGCCCGCGGGCCTTAGTTTGGAGACCTTTGGTCTAGACGGTGTGGAAGCCTCGACGTCTGAGAAACCTGTGGGCCTCCACGGCCTGTTATAGGGATAGCTTTACCTTTTTTATATATAATGAATGAGTTCCTCTCGATACGTCCACAGAAATTCCCATAGATCGCCATGTAAAATTCCCGTTTCTTGTATCCCAGTTTAGCCAAAATTTGAATTTATGGACATACGCGTATTTTAGTAAAATTCCCCGATATAAAATTTGATGAAAATCCATTTCTTAATTCTTGAGTTGTTGCATGGGAACAAACGGACTAACAGACCTGGCGACAATTATAGAGGCATTTTTATAACCTTTCGCTGAGAACGTGCGCCAGAGGAAATAATAAAGGAGCACTCTTGCAATTACATTTCATGATACTTCTTCAATGTTGCAGTTAGCCAAATTAAATTTGAAAATGAGTAAAGATAAAATGGTAAATTTGTCCGCCTGCTTAATTATACACCACACCATAAGGACGTACAGAGGAGTGGGGGTGTAACTATGCACATTCTTAACCTCAGCTTTATGCAGACGAATGGTTAGCTTTACGTCCCGGGGAAACAGCCTTCAGTGCCCGTTGAACAAAAGGCTGCGTGGATCCCAGGGGCAGTTTTTATGTTCTTAAGAGAAAAATCCCTTACCACTGTTCATCACTAAACCGTAATTCTTCTATACCTCAGTCTGTAGCTTAGTCGCTTACTGACTGAGATATTCCAGATCATGAATTTGGAATATAAGTGTTTGTACAAAATTAATATAGATATTTTGTATCATGTTGAGTTTTCTAATTTCCACTTTTTCCCAGCATTGCGTAGACAGTTGAATCACTGTGACTGTAAGGATGGTGGGTGTGAGAAAGAAGACTTTGAAATCGCCCATTCATCATGGTTGAATGGATAGTGTACCTGGGCTCAAATCTGGGTCGGATATTGAGTGTCCTGCCTGAGGATTTCCATGGTTTTCATTAGTCCCTCAAAACAAATGTCAGGTAGTTCTCCTAATTAGGCCATGATTGCTTCATTTCACACTCCATCCAGTTTAATGTGAAATGTATACACTGCTGGCAGTGTCACTAAATAAATGTGAACAAATACAGGTACACATTAAACATGAATAAATAAATGGTGACAACTGCAGCTGACAGCGCAACTTGTGCACACTCTTCTAGCCTAAAGATGGAGACAGAGCAACCGTCTGAACCACCATGTATTTGGTTAGGTTTACTGATTACAGGCATTTTATTTCCTATAAAAATTATATTTATATTGCAGAAGTAGCTGATGTAGTGGTAACACCCAAACTAGTTGGGAGGTTTTCGATTCGAATTTTGGTTGGGACACCAACTGTTGTGAGGGGCTTCATGGTTTTCCTCAACTCTTCCAGGGAAGTTTTTGTAGTATCTTGCTTAGGCCACAGCCACTTTCTTTGAAATTTCTTCTAACACACCAATCACCCTACCATATGGAAATCTTCATAAAATGAACCACAAAGCACAAATACGTATATGTGTTGTCTTTCTGCTTGTCTGGGCTGCTACATATGTTGCAACGTTTGCATGACTCGGGCCAGGTACCATGGCTTATTGATGTCCAAAAATCCTTCTTTCATTTACCTACAACATGGATCTTTATTTATTTATTTGGGGTTTATTTAACGACACTGTTAGTAGATCAGGTTGTGTAGCTTCAGACATTTGGATGATCAGAAATTGTGTGAATGGAAACTGAAACTGTCATGACACTATGTAAGATACTATCTCAGAGTTTGTCTGATGGGACTGGTAAAAACCACGAAGAACTTTATTAAGGACAGTCAGTGTTATGTTCTACATATGAACCAGCTACCTCACAAATACAAGTTATGTTCATGTTACATACAGAAAACATGAGTAAAACATAAGTTCTGGGACAAGCTTGGTGGTACGTGTACATACATGTGATCATCTCCTGGGTTACTACACTGTATAGCCCCCTCGTTGGATACCAACGTTTTTGAGGAATGTATTGTCTACCATGAAAACGGAGGCAGTATCTCCTTCTGAAGCAGTGGTTCTGACCTGTCAGAGTACACACTGCCATAACCCAGATGGCCACAGTATGACTCTTCAGCAATGTCAAAACCTCAACACTTACATAACTTTATGGTAAATTTCTTTATGTGGGTGAATGCCTGCAGAATCACACATACTTCGACATTATCCTTGTGTCTTATTTATTGATGCATGCTGGTGCTACCAGGATCTCAGACTAAATAATGTTGAATGGTATGTTGGTTAGTGAATAATGGATTGGAAATATGTGGAATGAAGCAGTCATCTGACTGAGGAACCATCTTGGCATTTGCATGAGGGAATGAAGACAGCCATGAAAGTCCTCAGACAGGATAGTCAGTATTAGCCAAGATTTGAAATGCGCATTTCCAATAATGCAAGTCAACTTGCTTAATCGTACTGTGTCATCTGTAGGCCTTAAAATGTTATGTATTCATAAAGTAATATTAAGAAAATTACTAATAGATTTAAAAATTTCAGCTCATGGTGTGAAGGTTGAATCAAAGATTCATCCATATCTGAGACATCGACGACAGACATGCAGGTAAATAATGTTCATTTAATTCAACAGTATATCAAGTTATGTCATTTATCTTAATAAATTTCATGATGCAGTTGAGTTCAGAGTTACTCTTTGGTGGAATGTTCTGGTGAGCTAATAGCACATAGGCTGTATTAATGCTGAGGTTGTTAGTCTCTGGCTTCTCATCAAAGAGGCCAAAGGTCATTCCAAGATTAATTCATCCCTGATTTGTGGTGCACTTGGGCGGTCTATTCTTGAAACACTTCGATTTTCACCTGCCAGTTACCATTCTACCAATGCTCTGTACTCATTTGTCATCTGGTATAAGTAAAATGACTGTTTGAGGCCATATTATCAAAGGACTCAGTTGCACCTCACTCCTAGAAATTAAAGAACTCATAAGTTTGCAGAAACCAAAGTTCAACATAATAAAAACGAAAACTCACATTGAACATAATCTGAGCATCTGTATCTGCCTCAATTTATTACTTTAAAATGCTGCAGCCATTGCAGTCAAATTCTTCTTTCTTTTTGCTGCTGATGTGGGGGAATTCTTCATGGTGTGCTCACTGTTAGGGATTTTATGACATTGTGCCTTGAGATGATTCAGCTGGTACACTATGTGCTTTAATCCCACCTCCAATAGCTTCTGTATTTTTCCAGAAAATGCTGGGATACCTTGAAACAGACCACACCCACCTCCTTACACATTCTTTCCAATTCACCGTTCAATAATCATTACAATTTTGTGCTATATAGTGTGATCTATTGACATCAGTAAATAAATATACAGTAGCCTGTTGATAATGAACTTCATGAGCAGCTAATGTGAATTTTTTATCTACTAGAAATGTGTTTCCCATGATGCAGTTGTTACCATTGCCATTTTGATCACTACCACCTGATATGGTCCTATAACCAAATACGTCCCATACCTTTCAGGAAAAATGTTTGTCACATCTATCCTGCAGTTTCCAGGCATAAAAAATTTGTCTCACCGCATTTATTTTTCTAAATTTTCATGGCTATAACTTGTTTCCACTAATGTGTTGCATTTCTTATTAGCACTTCAAAATTTCAATGTGCTTCTGGTCAGTGCATAGACATTACTGCACTCTGTGATGGATCCAAAGATTGTGATGATGGTTCAGATGAAACAGTTCGTCAGTGCAGTAATATGAGGTATGTTGGCTGTACTCTGTTAAAGATTATTATTGTTTAAATTCTTGATATCTGAATATAAAATCCATTTGTATTACCAGTATATATCGTGGCATATAGACCTGTTGCTAAGCAGTGACTCTATAAGCAGTGGCTGTTGCTAGGTAATGTCTGCGACATACACATATGCAGCAATAGAATAATGGTGTTTTCTGTGGTCCGTGCCTTAGTCATTTCTGGAAAACGGCTCAGTAAACACATTCCCATGCCAACAGACAGGAATGTACTGTAACAATAGAAGAATGGTGTTTTCTATGTGATCCGTGTTGAGATATTATAACCAGGACAGTTGGAGCAATTTCGGTGGAGTCATAGGAGAGAGAGTTCTGCATGTGAGACTGTGAATAGGAAGTCTGAGCAGGTGAAGCTGAAGAATCCCCACTGTTAGAAGCCATTGTCAGGGAACAACTTGTGAAGACACCACACTGGGAAAGGCTTAGCAGGTGCTGTGGTGATTTGTGAATTGTGGATATTTGCAGTGGCACTGTAATTACTTGTAGCTCTGAGTCGTATGTATAAGTGATCAGTATATCCATTCACCAATCCAGACCTGATCTATAGTCACACCCCTAAACGTGACAATATTTCATTATCAAATTTATTGGTTCTGTCTGAGAGCCACTTAAATTATGATATTTTTGGATTTGTATGAGATGTATATTTTGTTGTTTAAATGCAAATGCAAAAACCCTCATAAACTTTTCAGAGATCATATTACTAAATTAATAGTTATTAGGCACTTCTTCATTAAGGTTGTTTCACTCAAAATATACCAGAAGATCATCCATATAACTGAGATTATGTCCACAAGTAAAATAGTATATATTTTTTTTCCTTGGCATTACAGCCCCAGTGGGCCTAGGCCTACCTCCATGAACTTCTCCGTTCACTTCGGTTTTTCTAGATCTTACACATATGGTAGGACTCCTTGGGCGAGTGATCAGCTCGTCGCAAGGCCCCTACCTGTAGACAAACACAGAAAAACGCACACAAACATCCATGCCCTAAGTAGGATTCGAACCCACGATCTCGGCTTCCGAACGAACGAAGATAGTGCATGCCTTAGACCGCTAGGCTACCGTGACCGGCAAAATAGTATATACTTAATGCATTCAATTGTGTAACTCATACAAATTTGGATGTAACTAACAACTACAGAGAGTTCTTAAAACTCTGCCCTCCTTAAAGATACCTAGCATTTTAACCCCTTCGAAGCATGAATTTCGTTTACATAAAAGGTAAATTTGTCCCTGGGCTTAACAAGTAAATACCACGCCTTGAAGATATATGGGGGAGTAGGGGTATAGGTCCACCATTCTTGACCTTGACACTAGCTGGGGTTGGGTGGTCAGCATTACACCCCTGCCACTTTACCCCCGGGAAAGAGCTCCTGGTACCTATTGGACAGGAGACTGGGTGGGTTCCAGAGACGGTCTGAACGCTATGAAGAAGAGAAAAATCTTGCCTTTGTTGAGTATCAAACCCCAAGTGTTCAGCCAGTATCTCATAGGTATAATAACTCAGTCATAAAATTAAAAAATTAGTTTTTACCTCACAGAAAATACACTGCATCTCCACTGTAAAAATGTGCTGCTCAATGTTTTGAGTGAAATAATCACTGTTTATTCTGATAATCATAGGAAATATAAGTACACATTGTGAATCAAATTCAGTTTTGAATTTGAAACCAGATAGTACTTCGGTAACCATTGGACTTTAGAGAGTTAAAGACATTTCCACATAGTAGATGACACAGCTGTTCATAGTGCATAAATGAAGCTTTTGTCTGATGATTTTCTTCATCATCTGTATAGGTAATATATTTGTGCCAGGTTAATATTTACAAAATTCATATTAATAAACATTTTTTACTAGTTTTTACTACTTTTACTAGTTCATCCAATGACATGTAAATTTTAAATATAATCAGCTCATTACATTCAGCTTTTACATAATTTAACATTGTCCTACTCCTTAATTGTTGCTGGAACAGAGTGGCAGTGGTAGCATAAATTGAAAGCAAAGGAGAGTTTTCATAATTTTACTCAACAGTCTGTTGTTTTATAAAAGTGTTTGATGTACTGGTTTAATGGCCATATAGAAATGCCCTTCATGAAACTTGTAAATTTTGCAGGTGTCCCCAGTTTGCCTTCCAGTGCAGTTATGGGGCTTGTGTTGATGCAATTGCAAAGTGTAATGGAGTAACAGACTGTGCAGATGGGTCTGATGAACAACTTCCCTCCTGTGCCAAGAAACCAGGCACCAGCATTTGCAAGTAAATATGATGACAACATGGCTCATATTAGAACAATACAACATGTTAGAATGTTAGAAGTAATATTTTAACACTAACTTGTAATGAGAAATATGTTAGGTAATTTATGTAGACCTTGGCTGTTTCATGTTGAAATCAACATCTTGTTGATCATACATAATATATTTAAGTTCGTTTTGTTCTGCCATATATTGCAATTCTTGTAACAATTCATATTTTTCATGTTTTTTTTTACCTGTTTCATAGTTATTAGTAACTCATAAATAGTACTAGAAGTGGGACCAGGAGGTGCAAATATGAGCATTTTTTTAATTCAAAGGACATTGCAGTAGGGTGAACGAAATCATGAAATAAAACTATGATACTATCTGCCAAGTCACTCGATGCTACCACATTGGAGAATAAATTAATGACATCACCAGGGCCAGTGTAACACTAACTGCTAGCCCAGATGGTATGAGAAATTCCCATCCCCCATTAAAAAAGATCAAACAAACAAAACAAAACAAACTCCGCGGTTTTAGCCCGCTAATTGTTAATAACATGAAATTTCCAGACATTGTGACAAAAACTATAATTGGTTTCATAATCTTTAAACAGTTTTCTTATAATATGTAGGCTAGTACTACATGTTTGAATGAGGCACTTGAGGCTATCGCCACTAGATGGCAGCATTAGTCCGGTGGCAATTGATGACATTCGACACGAGACAATCGATGTTTACAGAAGCGAAACAGCAGTTGCAAGATGGCGGCGCCCATGGGTGAGTGTACAGCCCTCAAGCAGCGCTCCGTTGTGCAATTTTTATAGGCGAAAGGTATGGAATCAAAGAATATTCATAAAGAAATGCTTCACATCTACGGTGAGAAGTGCCTGTCACGTCAAGCTGTTTAAAATTGGGTGCAGAATTTCTCTGAAGGGCTGAGACGAATCGAAGACAAACACCGCATTGGCCGGCCAACGGAGATCGCCACAGAGGCAAATGTGCAAGGGGTTAAAGACTTAATCCAAGCAGACAGAAGGGTACTGTAGATACTAGAGCTACTGCTATTGGTTGTTCACATGGCATGACCTACCTCATAATGCATGACAGGTTAGGTTTTAACAAAGTCTGTGCATGATGGGTGCCGCACATGCTGACTCCACAACACAAAATGCAAAGAACGGGTGTGGCATTACAGCATCTCAATCGCTAGCACGATACCAAAATATGCTAGCCCAAATTGTCACAGGTAATGAGTCTTGGGTTCACCATTACCTGCCCGAGACAAAGCGTGCATCAATGCAGTGGAAACATCCTGCTTCGCCTGCCAAAAATAGTTTAAGGTGACACCATCCTCCAGGAAAGTGATGCTCACAGTCTTCTGGGATCATGAAGGCATAATGCTCACCACATTCCAGCCTAAAGGACAAACCGTAAATGCTGACTCCTATTGTAACATCCTTAGTGAACTTCGTAAGGCCATTCAAAGGAAACAATCAGGACTCCTCACCAAAGGTGTGTTGCTGTTGCATGACAATGTGCGTCCCCATACTGCCAACAAGACAAATGAGACACTGCGAAATTTCAAGTGGGAAGTCCTCGAGCATCCTCTGTATAGCCCCGACCTTGCTCCAAGCGACTTCCATTTGTTTGGCCCTCTTAAACATCATCTTTCGGCTGAACGTTTTCCCAGCGATGAAGCTGTAGAAAGGGAAGTCACCACCTGGTTCTGACAGCAGCCCAAAGAATTTTATGCTGCTGGTTTTCAGGGGCTTGTGAAACAATGGGACAAGTGCCTCAATGTACAGAGAGATTATGTTGAGAAATAAAAGCATTTTTCAAATAAGTACTCTTATTTGTTGAAGTTCTATATCCATTTGTAACTTACTTATTGACTTACCCTCATATATAGAGGGCTGTGCCATGGCTCAAGCGGTTAGTCGCTGGCTTCCCACCGTGGCGGCCCGGGTTCGATCCCGGGTCTGCTGAAGTAGGATTTGTGGTGGACAAAGTGGAGTTTGGGCAGGTTTTCTCCAAGTACTTTGGTTTCCCCTGCCAGTCTTCATTCCACCAATTACTCCACAATGACCCTCACCTATCATCTGGGGCTGGTACAATAGGCCAGAAGTGGCCGCAGTACAAGGGACTTACTCCCACCCCACTAGCAATAACAAAAGAAATAATACATATATTCAGATGGCATGCAAATTATTACTAATGATGAGAAAATATTTTCAGAAAGTATTTCTCATTTAACAAAGAAAAGAAAACAAAGGAGAAAGTGTGGGTTGTAAAATATGCCATCCATAAAATTGCTCCAGTAATGTGTTAACTTTCAGGTCTTCGGAGTTCCAATGCAAGTCTGGCAAATGCATAGATGATACCTTAGTGTGTGATGGAATTAAGGACTGTCGTGATGATGGCTCTGATGAAACATTTGAGCAATGTAGGAACTTCAGGTAAAGTAGTAAAGGAACTTTTCATTATATTATCCATTTCTGATTTAACTCTTCTGGTTTAGATTGAGTGACTCTTAAGTGGGAAATCAATTCAGACTGAGAATTGAAATCAACTAGAAATGGCATCACTCAGTCTGAATATCACAGTTGAGTTGTTTATTGTTTATTGTTATTAAATAACTCCACAAATCCTGTACAGGGGCTTTAGCACCCATGGGATATAGAGCTCGTCAAACCAATACAATCTCATATGAAACATAAAAAAATACATGGTGTAACATTAAATCAAGCCATATCATAACAACATAGATTCATACACTGTTAGAAATACAACCTTTTACTTCTTACTACTCCAAGTTCATTCGTCACAATCATTAAACATTAATCATAAAACAATATCACATAATACTAAGTAATAAACATAATTAAAATTAAAAAATATAACATACAGTTAATCCCATTTACATCCAATCAGTATTTACAAATTATTTTGATTAAACAACTCCTCTAATGAATAAAATGACCACGAGCAAAGATATCTCTTTAATGCTGGTTTAAACAATTCAATTTTATATGATAATGATTTTATATTTATAGGAAGATGGTTAAATATCCTCATTCCAATAGCATATGTCCCTTCATTATATATTGTTAATCTAGCAGATGGAAAATGAAGGTCAGTATTGTGCCTAGTATTTAGACCATGAATTTCTTGATTAGTTTTATAAAGATGCTTATTTCTCACAACAAATATCATCAAAGAAAATATATATTGAGAATAAAATGGTAAAATTTCCCAATCTTTAAAAAGTTGTCTACAAGAGTCTCTACATCTAGTCTTAGTCATAATACGGAGTATTCGTTTTTGCATCTTAAAAACACTAAGACTATGTGGTTGTTAACACTGTTGCTTCGTGTTGGAGAGTTTCTTGATTCAAATCTCACCCCAGAGACTGGCTGTCATTACTAAGGTTTTTGTAGTTTTGTCCATCCATCCAGAAAAATTAAGGGTTAGTAAATTTAATTAGAAATGACCACTTTCACGTTCTTTCCACTTCATTATTCACTAATCATCCTATCATTCAGTGCTGTATAATTGAAAGCATTGTTACATAAACCATAAATAAATACATCATCACTGGAAGTAGAAGGAAGTAATACAAACCTTTATTTTATTTTGCTTTGTTGTTGAATGTTGAATAAGTGGTAACATGAAAATGAAATATATGATAATGCTTAACCACAAAACTGCATAAATCAATAGTTGGGGATTCTTTGTAGTGTAGGTTGTCCCATCAAATATTTTAATGTGATGAGCATATTAAATGTATTTCCAGGTGTTCTCCTCTTTCATTTCGTTGTTCATATGGCGCTTGTATTGATCCTGATTACCGCTGTGATGGTCGAGCTCAATGTGCTGACTCTTCAGATGAGGATCCTGTCCTTTGTGGAAATGAAAACAAGGGCACCTGTAAACTTCCAGACAAACCAAAAGACGGAAAGTACAAAATCCTCAACTGTAAGGAGACTGACATTTCTCCCTTTTGTCTCCAAGTTCCTGACACAGTTGCACCTGACTGGACTATCCTAGAGTATCGCTGTGATGCTGGGTACAACTTGATAGGTGCTGCTTCTGTTCCATGTGTTGAGGGAAAGTGGTCTTACTCCCATCCTACTTGTGTTCAAGGTAAGACACAGTTCACATATTAGACTGTGATTTAACCAGGCTTAATACCTAAGAGGACACAGAAAATTGTAACCTCTTGCTTTTTAGCACTGAAATTTATAATTGAACCTCACTTAAACCGCTTGAATGAACAGTGTATGAACTGTCAGTTGCTATGAAATGGATGATGGAGATTTATACAAAATTGTATCTTCTGACATGTTAAACAATTAGCTCCACAGATTCGTTACTACGTGACTGTTGTCATTTAGCCACAGTTATGCCAGGATTAATTTTTGCACCAATACTCCAGAAATCTAATTATCCTGATACCTGTTCGGTATGTCATACCATTAAGCTTAACATAAATAATGAATATATAGATGTTAGATTCTGGTGTTAGAACAGACATTTTAGGTGAACATAAGGTACTCACTATCCTCTAATATGGATTACAGAAATTATCAAGATGATCAAATAAGGAGAATAAACTGGGCATAAATGTAGCATGCATTCATAGATTTGGTTTGAAAGTCTTAAGAGAGGAAACTACTTGGAAGCCTGAGAGAAGATAACATTAAAACCTATGTTAAGAATAAGGGTGTTAGCATTTGACTAAATTTGGCCAATCACAGTGGCTGCATGGTCTAAGGCATGAATTGTCTTTGCCTGCTCAAACACTGGGATCATGGGTTTAAATCACACTCAAGTTATGGATGTTTCTCTGGGTTTATTCTGTGTTTGTGTGTAGGTAGTGGTCTTGCAAATGGCTGATCCCCCATCCAAGGATTCCTACCAACTGTCTAAGATTAAGAAACTGAAGTGAATGGAGCGTTTTACAGATGCCCTATGCTCCAAGTAGGAATAACAGGAATGAATGGATGGATGGATTAGTTCCATGAAACATCATAAATTAGCAATCATTGATTAACAAACCCAATTTTAACATCTGCTTTGCTTCTCAGTTTAAGGTCCATAATTTCACTAAGTTTATTTAAAAAATTGCAAAATATGGTGAACGATATTGAGCAGTTATATGATTGCAATACTTCACTACCAGAATGGCTGGCTGATGTGACAGAGCTTGTAAATATTTTATTGTTTCCGCTCATTGGTGAACATCAACTGACTCTGTAACAATGATAATTTAGGTATCTGGAAACATTGTGAGAGTGTCAGTGAATCAAATTGTTGATTAATGGGGGATGACATGTAGCTTGGCAGTAGATGGAGAAGACTGGTCAACTTCATGCCTTATCTGCTTTATTCCAGGGGAAATAGCCCACAGTACCCATTAGATAACAGGCAGGATGGGCCCCAAAGCCAGTCTGGACACTGTGGAGAAAAGAAAAACCTCTTGTCCATGCCAGCGATCTTAACCAGCTTTCTTGGTCATTGAGCCCTTTGCCTAGTAACTATGGCAACTGGATTATCTTGGTTTTATATCACATGGGAATGGGAACAAAAATGCACAGACAGTGAATTTGAAGAATGTACCAGTGTTACCCTCAATTTCTGGTGTAAAGACAGAACCAAACTAGTACTTTTGCAGGTCATTGATGTTGAAGGGCCTCAAAATTCACTCACTCCCTCACACTGAAACACTTCCTAGTTCTTTTCATGAGTTTCGAAATGGTTATTTAAAAATAGAATTTTAAATCTTTAGTCACATGAGCTACAAAGAAATAATAAAAAAAAAAGATTAGGTAAATGTAATTTGATTGGCATTAAGGCATTTACAAATTTCATAGTACATAAGAGGCTTTTATCCGCTTACTACAAACAACTGTTCCTCAATCAGATGAATTAGATGTATTTTTTGTGGTTTATTTTTGTATTTATCACAAACGTGAATTATGTATAACATTTGAAGTTTAATATTTAAATCTGTATCTTATGTAATAATGTTAATATATTTTCCAAGTTAATTTTGTGTGACATAATTGTATATGTACTTCGCATCTGATTTTGCCAGTGAGACAGATGTTTGTGGGATGATGAAATTGAAACCAGTAAAAGTAAAGCTATCCCTGTAACAGGCCGTGAAGGCCCATAGGGTTGTGAGACGTTAAGGGTCCCACATTACCTTGACAATCGGCTCAAAGATGACGGTTGAAACCAGTCTTATGAAAATTAGATTCTAAAGCTGCAATTCACGCCTCATTACATTCACTGTGGCAGTTATGAACCTTCGAGTTCCATAGAAACAGATTTTCATAAAATGTTATATATTTGTACCACAGTCTTCTCGGGTGATCATCTTTGTCTGTACTGAGTTACAATCCAACATTTCAGAGACCACCTCCATAATTATGCTCAATGTCTCTGAACTGTTTTTATCTTAAAGCTGATCACCCAAGATGATCCTAGCACACTTATTTGCCATGAGAGCTTCAAATCTTACATCTTTGTTGTCTCTTTGCTGTTTGAGAGAGACCATACAGAGCAAATCAGCTCGCATGAATGTTTTGTTTCAGTGTCATGTCCACCCCTGGAATCCAGCAGTGTGAATATCAAGTGCACCTATAAGGGCAGCAGTGTACTCTGTGGGAAGGACATGGCCCCAGGAACTGTGGCCTCCTTGGAGTGTAAAGTGTCCTACCAACTCACCTTTGAGCCAGGCTATAACAAAGTCAGCTGCCTACAGAATGGAAAGTGGGATAAGCCCTTATTCACATGCACTCCAGGTCAGCTAGGTTTTAAGTGGTTTCTGATGTACCAAAATATCAATATTAATATTCAAATTCTCAACAATATTAGAACAATATCATCACTCCAGCAGAATCCTAGCACTTCAGATTGAAGTAACTTAATATCTTCATTTCTGTATAATGTCCCAAACACAGCATTCAATAAACATGTTTCTCATCTTCTCCTCTACTTTGTAATTTGCTTAGTAAGGTGTTATTCAGATGTTTATTTTAGAGTCCATTTCCACTTTCAAGACTTCAGAATGCTGTAAGCTAATATTCTCACTGCCATAATCAGGGCCAGTGCAAGCCTAAACATCGCTCAGGAACAAAGAATTCCATCCCTTATTTAAAATCCAATAAACTCCTTCAGTACTTCGTCATAGCATGGAACTTGATGACATAAAATCAAACTGTCATTAATAATTCCCGAAAAATATATTTGCATTTTTTACAATATGTTTATATTTCTGCTGATTAATGATTGTGATATGGGCAAAAATTCAGCTTAAAATAATTTTCATTTAACAAAAAGCAAAATGAAGAAAGGATGCTTGTAAAATGTGCTACTCCTAAAACTGTGCTGCCCAAGACAGCCACTTGGATTGAATGCAGCATGTCAGCCCTAGATGTAGTGAACAATTATTTACAATACTTTTAAACTATAGTCGTGTACTGTAGCATCCTGTTGCACTGCATCTGCTTTCTGCTGTCTTACACACAAATCACACCAGAAGTTTTAAAATCTGAAAACTCTCAGTTCTTTGAAGTTATGTTTCTTTATTTAACACCTTTATTGCACAACATGTTTCAGCCTGTTTGGCCATCATCAAGTGCATTAAAATTGTTGGAGAAATTGCTGCTTGTTTGTACATTGTCATAGCTATTGTTGATAGGTTTTCCTAATTTCATGATTTAATCTTGAAATCGAAAGTATAATTTCATTTATGTGCATCTAAATGTGTAAAAAGAAAATCAGATTCCTTACTTAAGCCATGCTTATTTTGTGCACAAATCTTGAGTTCAAACTTTCAGTTTAAATCAAGTGCATGGATACTTTCTTATACAGGGTGTTCAATCAAGATGGAAACTCCACAGCACTGCTGACCAGACCCAACATTCCTCGCAGATTGCTGCTCTAACTGCCAATAACAGAATGAGTCATTTATCAGTGCTAATGACTCATTCTGCTATCAGCAGCAATCTGTGAGGGATGTTGGGCCCAGTCAGCGGTGTTGTGAAGTTTCCTCCTTGACTGAACGCACTGTATAATCTGCAAGGGGTACTGAACTGTCAGAAGTGGATTTACAGAAACGGTTATCTTAGCAGGTCTGTCAGTGAGAAACTGAGAAAATACCTAGAGTGTTTGTGCAGAGCAGATATTGCATGAGTACAGGAATAAAGACCCCTTACAGTCCTCATGGATTGAACAATTTCATGGCTTCACTGCACTGACATGCCATAAGGAACTTAATAGTATAGATATGAATGTTATAATAATTTTTTCATGTGTAGGCCCAAAATTTCGGAAGGAGAATCTAGTAGAACTTACTGTGATTGAATTTTACTCATTTTTAAAACCATAGTGTGTTATATAGCATGTAGAACTTGTATATTGCTGTTAATATTTGCTTAGGTATATGTAGTGTTAATTTTTAAATTTAAAGTTTAAATTTTATACAAATTTTATATTATTAGCTTGCTAACAATTTCTCCAAAAAAAAATAAAAATATTGATGTGCTTTAGATCCAAGAACTGGATAAAGGTGTATGATCGCTTTTTATCTTAAGGGTAAGGTCTCTCAGTACCAATAATACAGTACTGCTGCCATTGAATTATCTCTTATAATTAGATGTGTCTTTCCCACCAGAAAATGAAGATGTATTCATGCCTTATAGATCCTATTCCCATTTTGGGACTCTGTAGAATGAAGGATATTGTCAAACCACTACAGGATGCATTAGGCATCCTGGCTGATGCTTGCATGAAGAGTAAGTGACATCTGGATACAGTGTCTTGCAACACAGCAAATTAAAACTTCTTCATTTATATTATTAATTTATTTACTAGCCTTGCGGCTGTTGACTTGGCACACAAATAATAAAGAATTGAATTGAACTGAATTAATAATTTATTAGCTACTATTAGTAGAATTTCCTAACTAATAGAGAATGCAATTGTAGCTGAATATGGGTTTAAATATTATTAATTAAGAGAAGTATCAACAATGTCTTGTGAATATAATGTAAGGTCATAACTTTTATACAAATAAATGAAGAGTATAAGACTGTGGTGAGCAATATATAACCTCTCTGCTTTAATCCCAGTATCATCTTTCTGTGGCAGTTATGGGTTTAAGGGGCATGTCATCATGTACTTTTTCAGATAGGCACCTACATTTTAGAGGAAGCTGTTACCTTCTTCTTCACAGAAGAGCCTCCTCTACCCTGAAAATGCAGGCAGTAGGTCCCTCTGAAACACTTGTACCTCTCTCTAATATTATGTGGTATCACATCCCAGAAGGCTGTAATCTTCATATTCAGTGCAGGCACAACCACAAATCCTTTGTTTTTGCACTGTGCCACAATCAAATTGGAAGACCAAAGATCTGCTCCAAAAGACTTCAACTCCCACCAGGTACTACTTACCCTTTTACAATTCAAATACAGCTACAAGGTCTTGCATTTTGTCTTTTAAGTTATAGTAGAAGGGATTTCTGAATATGTATTGGCGTTCACTTGCCTTTTAATAATTGTACCAAAAAACATTAGACAGTTGCTACTGAGGTAACATATAAGCTATTTACTTACTAATGTAAGGTTGAAAGGAACACATTATAACCCACATAGCTATTGTCACGTGTCTTGAGTTCGAAGCTCGTTGGTCATGTGTGTAAGTTCAAATCCCACTTCTGACACCAGTTCTAACACCAAATTGTCACGTGTCTTGAGATCGAATCCCGTCGGTCACGTGTGTAAGTCCAAATCCCACTTCTGACACCAGTTGTCGCGTATCGGGCGTATATCGCGACAAATAACTTAACGTCGTATTTGATATAGCGAATTTTATTTCACATTCGCTCATACAATCACCCAAATTACAGATTTACGATTACTGCTATCTGCAGTATCACAAATAGTACACTCCAAATGCCACAATACAACTGACTGGTTGCTGGCTAACTCGGAACTAACGTAGCTCGAGGACTGACTCTTAGGTAGCTCCTGGACTCGCTGACTGACTCAGTACAACTCAAGTCGCCGACTTCTACAGTAGAACTCGGCGGCTGTTACGGTAGAACTAACTGTGAATAGCCTTCGCTGCGTCT